TTTACGTGTATAAAGAATGTTTCAATTTCGTTTACGTTAATAGTAGTGCCAGTAGTGAGTGCATAATTTCTCGTAAACTATAGTGAATATTGGATTCAGATTTATTTGCGAACGTAATTGATAGCATTATCTTTGAAACATATGCTCGTGGAGTGCAAATTTGTAGCGTGAAAAATTAAAATTAATTATTTCCTTTATATGATTATAGAGCGTTTAGTTCCACCGTTCTGCCACAACGCGGCGCTAGTGTTTCATACCCCGTAAAACAGAGAAATTTTCATTTGCGAAAAAACCTAATTTAGCGAAATGATTTGCGAATTTTTGTGATTGTATTATCCTAAGTAGACCCTTAGCTTTCTTTTCATACCTCAGTTGACCCGTAAAATGTAGAAATAAGTAGTTTTATAAATTATTAGTACCACCGAGTCACCGCTAGATGGCGCCACCATGTCCATTTTGTGACAGTTCGCACTAATTATGAGAAAAACCTAATTAAGAGGAATAATTTCCGAACTTTTTCATATGCCTCCTTATAATTAGGCTCCCCGCTTTCTTTCTATGTGTGTTTTGTCCCAGAAAAACGCGTGTGTAAAAAGTTGAATTTTTTTTTCAATAGATCGAAGACTGTCCTTGTCGCACACTATTGCTTTCCTTGTCTATCGCTGTTAGACAAGGAGGGCAGTAGCGTGCGATAAGGACAGACATACATGCACGATACACAAGGAGAGCACAGCGTGCGACAAGGATAGAGATGTACGCGCGGTTGACAAGGAGGGCAGTAGAGTGCGATGAGGATACTAATAGAGATTTTACCACTAGTGTTTTAATGATTATAAATCGATTAAATTTTATTTTGCAAAGAAAATTAATTTAAAGGATTAATTTATGTTTTGTAGTTTTATCTTTAGAACTTTCTTTTTTTATTTTATTTATCTTGCGAAATAAAAGTCACAGACTAAGTATATCTTATCTGTGACAAAAATTTATGAATTCTTAAGTAATATCAATGTTTAATTTCTTCCAATTTGAAATTTGAATTGAAGAGTTGTATTTGATTAGTTAAGATCCCTTACCTTTGTCTATTTTATGTACATCATTTATACTTCTAAATATATGTAAGATAGGAATCTTACACATCTACAATGTATGTGTAACATGGAATAACAGCACTTTTGGAAATGGATCAATCTTTCAAAACATAACTTTGTTCGTTTTAAATTTTAAAAGATCCATGTATTATGAGTAATAAACTTTTATCTAAATATAATTATGTTCAGTTTATTCATATATGAATTTATGTACGATTTTCATTGAAAAATTTTTACCTTACCGCTTTATAATCGTTTTCTAGAAAAAACCAAAATAATCGTGAAATCCCAATGAATCAGATGTACAATATATGTAATATGTATTTAATTTTGACCTTAACTTTAAACGAAATTGTGCATTAAAATTTGATAAGTTATAGAATTAAAAACAATTTATTATTTTCCTCAAAATGTGAGACATTGAATGTTAGATTTATTTTGTATCTTGCTTGTGTATGATTTCTGGATCATAAATCTTTATGACAAAAATACGCTTATCAAGCTGTGATAAAGTGACAATAGCAGAGCTCTACACAAATCAAATATTACTGAAACAGATGAAAATGTGCTTTACATAAAATAGTTATTGTATTTAACAATGGAAGGTAAAAAATATGTAGCTTTAATTACTGGATTTGGACCATTTGGCAGTCATGTTATTAACGCCAGTTGGGAAGCCGTGAAGGAATTAAATAAATTATGTATTAATTCTCAAGAGATGGTGGACGTTGAAATAATTATAAAAGAGATTCCAGTTTCATATCAAGATGTAGCAGCATGTATACCTAAGCTTTGGAAAGAATATAAACCTACGGTAAATTCTTATTTACAATCAATTTACAATTTGATGAATATAAGTAATTTTCTTTGTTTTTTATTAGGTAGTTATACATGTAGGGGTAAGCCACAAAGCGCAATGTTTAACCATAGAATGTTGTGCTCACAGTAATGGCTACATGAGAGAAGATATATTTAACAAATGTCCAGATGAAAGTATTATTGAGCCTAAAATTTTGAAAACTGAAATCAATGTCAAACAAGTCTGTAACATAATCAATGAAAATTCAGACAGAACAGAATGTAATGCTTGTATTTCATATGATGCAGGAAGATATTTGTGTGAATATATATTTTACAAATCTCTAGAAATTGCACCTAAAAAGACAATATTTGTTCATGTTCCAGATTTCAATCGATATTCAAGTGTACAAAATGCAAAAGGTTTATATGATATTTTATACTGTATTATTCAGGATATGAAAAAAAGTAAACACTAAATTTTATAATACAAAAATTATAATTATAAAATAATACTTAATAAATATTAACGATTATTTAAAATATTGTAATTATTCTTAATTGTAAAAATCGTTGTTGTATATTAATATATATACATGTCATTATGTTATTTATGATCCTCCATGTTGAAATCTTGTACGTGCTGGTGGTATATTGTATCTAAGCTCTAGAAACTCTGGTTTTCTTATTAAGGAAGCTACATGACCCATTTGAATTGTACAGTCAGGATTTAGATTTGGAGGTAATAATGTACATTCCCGTTCTAAAATGCAGGCCAATCCTTCTAGGAGTTCTACAAATCCCATTGATGCCGCAGCTCTACGCAATCGATTTACTTCCTGTAATCAAAAAATTTATAAATAGAAACATTCATTAAAATTGTATGTCATCCCTTTCTACTCTTTCATATCTTACCTTATAAAAGTTTTGAGTTTTTTCAGGTAATTTTCTTGCGTGCCTCAAAATTTTCTGAATATCTGATTGCAATCCAACTTGGCGAATCCAAGAAGGTGCATTTTGAGTATAACTCCTTTTTTCATTTGGCCTAACTGGAAAACTAACAGCAACACCTTTTGCTGCATCAATAGGACCTAAATTGCTAAAATTACCTAACCAAGGCACAACATCTAAACCTGGTTCTAATACTGTTAACATTAAATTTGACTTTTTTTTTGTATCCGCCCATGAATATATAAAGCCATACCATTCACTATTTAACAAACAAAGAGCTACCATATTTTCAACCTATAAGAAATATTCATTCCTTAATTTCTACCCAATTACAAGATTAAATTTGTTAAAATATTACCTTTAAAGCTCCATGTAATAATACGCAAAAAGATGGTACTTTTCCCTCATCTCCATTCTCATCTGTATCTGAATCTTCTTCTAAAGATATTCCTTGCATGCTTGGACTTTTTTCTGTGGCCAATGGTAACACCAAATGTCTAGATATAGCACTAGGACTACCTACATCTGCTACTGATATAAATCCACATATTTCTATGGTTTTTGATATCATTAAACCAGATACTAATTCAAAATCTGTCTTCTTAGTGTATGGCTAAAATAATATAATGTCACACAGAATCTGAAGTCTCATTTACTTTTTTATTTATTATTTACCATAGGAGCTGGTGAAAGAAGAATACGGGAACCTAAATTCCCACACTTCAAATATCCTTGAAAAGATACATAATTAGTTTCTGATAATTTTTGAAAGCAAGCTGCAATTGTATGTTTTGACAATGGTGCTTCAGGAACTAATACTACGCTATCGCCACCAGCAAGATCAACTAAACGTTGATACAGTGGTAAACCAATATGTAAGCCAGCATCTAATAAAACATTAAAATTATTTAATATATTGGGAGGGCTATTGAAGTATTATAGAGTCATATTTCAATGTACCTTGTTGTGACGCAATGCATATAACACTTAATTTTCCTGGGTAAGGAAAAGGAAGTGGAAATGGATTTACATCTCTTATTACATTTAAAGAATTCAAAGAGTCACCCAAAGACATTGGTCCTACTCCAGGATTACCATCAGTGATCAACACTACTTGACAAGCAGTAGTATTACCCCATTCTGCCAAAATGACATTGTTAACACCGTGAAGTGCAGTTTCAATGCAGGTCTTATCGCATTCTTCAATGTTTTGCAATTTCAAACGTATACTATCATAATCACGAGTGAATGGGCAAATAACCTCGTATAATGATGAAAAAACAACCTAAATTGAAAAGACATTTTCAAGTATGTAATACTTGAACCATTATTACTACCATTTATTATTACAGACTCACTAAAGCCACAAATTCCAATTTTGAGTTCGCTTGCAAATAATGTAACAGCGCGTTTATTCCATGTACAGCTAAATGGTGTCTTGTTAATTGTTCAGTTTGATTATTTTCATTAGTTCCGTTTCCTAATACTGGACGTCTCATTGATAAAGACACATCTAAAGCTATAACCGTCGGCATTTTCACGTTTATAACAAACAAAAAATTTTGTTTCCTTTACATCAACGCAATATTTCTCCAGATTTCTTTAAAAATATATATACATATAATATCTATTAAAAAATAATCATTGTTCAAAAATTTTAGGTTAGAACGGGTTGTTTACTTTTATATAGACACTATATATATATATATATATGTACATCGACGTATTTACTTATATATACACATATATATATATTATATGACGTAAATATTTTTAATTTATTTATTTATAAGCAATAATAATTTAATTTTGTTTTAAATATAACTTTATTTTATTAGTAATTTAAGAATTATTGAATAGCTCTATATAAATAAATACATTCTGTAAAAATGAACTGTGAATTTAAATTGTTATTTAACATAGAAAATTGTAGCCAATTTGTGATAGATATTAATTATAACAAAATCATTCTTCAATATCTTGATATTTAATAATTAAACAATTCTCTTACTTATATTTATCGTAAATCTATGGAAGATCTTATACACAAGCTCTTGTATCGATGATTTTATATGCGTCATCAGCTGATTGCGTACTACGTGACCAAAAAAAAGACATTCATTGTTTGTAACGATTTAAATCAGTGTATTTATCACACATGTTTGTGATTGTTTCAACTATTTCAAGTTAAATAATTAAATTGAAATGTACGATTTCAATGTACTTATTTAACGTACAAATTAACGGAAGTATTTGATATAAAATGCGTTTATATTTTATCTGCACAATTATTTCTTTATATTGTTTTCTATCTGTAAATTCGTGGCATTTAAAAAATAAACAAATATCTCCCGTTATATTTGGTAAATATCTTTCATTGTATGAAATAATTTCATAATGTATTATTTTGGACATTGAAGTTGATATAATTATTACATTAAAAGTTCCAGGCGATGGTGGCAGCCAAGTTGAAGCAAAACTCAATAAAACATCTGTGGTACATTATTTATGTGAGAAGGTTTCCACTGAATACTTTAATATCTGGTTAAATTTAGAATTACTCGTGCCAGTTATCATAGATTGTTGGGTAATTGTTTTGCCATACTTTTATATCTTTTATATTTTTAATAGTACTTCTTTAATCTGAATAAATGCGTTTCAGATTGATAATATGAAATTAATTTATGACAATATTACAAGAACAACAAGAAATCAAAATGGCGTTGACATACGTATACCAGGTTGGGGCGATCCATTTGTTGTTGAGTATTTAGATCCAAGCAAAGCATCTCCTGGATCTTACTTTAAAGATATTGGAAATATGCTAGTCAATGAACTTGGATATATTAGAAATCATTCAATACGTGGTGCACCATATGATTTTAGAAAAGCACCTAGTATGTATAATTATTATAACATTATATATATACTATATGGTAGCAATTACAGATCATAACATTTGAATTTTATCGATCTAAAGAGTAAAATTTTATTCTTTCTTCTTTTTAGATGAAAATGAAATATTCTTTAATAAACTGAAAGATTTAATTGAAGAAACATATGATAACAATAATCAGACACCTGTAACATTATTAGCACATAGTATGGGTGGACCAATGACACTTATATTCTTACAACGTCAATCTCAAAAGTGGAAAGATAAATATATCAATTGTTTGATTACTCTTGCAGCTGTTTGGGGTGGCAGTGTTAAAGCTCTTAAAGTCTTTGCAGTTGGTATGAGTTATGCCTAATACAAACATGTATACATTATATTTATATTTACATTATTTTATAGGAGATGATTTAGGTGCATATCTTTTACGCCAAAGCATTCTCAAGGATCAACAAATATCTAGTCCTAGTTTAGGATGGTTGTTACCATCACGATTATTTTGGAAAGATACAGAAATATTGGTACAATCAGAACAAAAAAACTACACATTGCTCACATTACAAGATTATTTGGTGTAAGATACGCTATGGATATAATTAATTAATTAATGTATTATGTAATCTGTAATTTGCTTATATTATTATAAACGATATTTATTGAACTTTGCAGAGATATAAATGTTCCAAATGGTTGGGAATTTAGGAAAGACAATGAAAAGTATCAATTAAATTTTACTGCTCCAGGAGTTGAGGTACATTGTTTGTATGGAAATAATATAGGTACAGTACAGAGGTATGTTAATTTTACTTTTACTCATTAGTATAATAGTATAATATCACTCTATAAGCTTTATAGAATGTTTAATATAAATTATTTTTAGATTGTATTACAAGCCTGGTACATCTATAGAAGGATCTCCGCAATTAATTTCTGGTGATGGCGATGGTACTGTAAATTTAAGAAGTTTAGAAGGTTGTAAGTATTGGCAGAATAAGCAGAAACGGAAAGTTTACTCTCAAGTCTTCTCTGGTGTAAACCATATGGATATTCTTAAAAATAGTAATGTCTTAAACTATATTAAAACTATTTTAAAAGTGTGATATTATTATTTATGTATAATTGTTAGTAATTACTAAAACAAATATTAATATATTTGATTTGGCAATTACACGAAGAATAGGCAATTACATTGATTTGGCAATTGCCAAAGAAAAATAATAAATTGTACAGATATGTTAATGATATTTCGCGATAAACACTTACCATTAAAAATAATATTCTAATTATGTGTACATATATACAACAATTAATATATTTTTCATTAACTAAATATTAATATTAAAAAAATAATGTTCATTCGTTTTTCTGCAATTAGATAAAGTGTGTGCGAAAACCCGAAAATATCAAGAACACGATGGTCGGAACCCGACCGAAAACCCGAAAATATCAAGAATCGGGTCGGGTCGGGTCGGGTTCCCGAAAATTTTGAGAACCCGGCGTTTCTCGAACTATTCTAATGCTGTATAGCAGCCTACAAAATATGTAAATACACAGTTCAATTTCTTCTGCCAGTGAAATTATTAGAAACACGGATTCTAAGAATCGTGTGACCTGATGTAAACGAATGTGTGACTGCGTGCTTAATACTTAGATATTATGTACGCTGTTGAGCAGTATCGCTGAGAAATTCGAGAAGCTCAGACGTATATTTCAAAATCTGTGTCGATTTAATAAAGATTAAAAATCTTTAAAAAAAATGTCAATAGTGAGAGTGATAGTGAGAGTAAAGTTGTGGTAGCAGGAAGTAGTGCAGAAGATATTGTGCAAAGGAAGAAGGTAAAGAGGGGCTATCTATGGGAACATTTTCAGGAAAAAGATGATACAAAGGCGGAATGCACACATTGTCGCCATGAATTTAAAACTAAGGATGCAAATACTACTGGTTTATTACGCCATTTCAAGCATATGCACCTAAACACAAGTATATGTACTAGAAAAGAAACTGAATCGATATAAAATTTGTCGCGTGTACGAAATGATACGCGAAAGATTGTTAAACCAAAAAATATAACAGAAGAAATTGCTCGAATGATGGTTCTAGATTTGCGATCTTTCGATATAGTTGAAGGCGTGGACTTTAACGAATTATTTAAGGTTTGTTTCCAATCCTTGCCCAAATCCCCTCTTTCGGGAATCCCGGCTTTTTAGAGAATCTCGAAATTTTGGGGTACCCGTCCCGATCCCGAAAAAATTTCGTGTTCCCGACCCAATATTTCGGGTTCTCGCACACCTCTAATAATTACAAAGGAACAATATAATTTTTAATTATTTATATTTCTGGATTTTGTATTTTGTTCATTTTTTATACATATATATATATATTGTATCTGATATAATTATTATATACAAGTTATTAAAAAATGCTATTTTCATTCTTTATTACAATGCATTTTTTTTTCTATTGGTACAAATTCATTGAATTATATACTATATAACGTAATTATATTACATAATTACATAATTCTTCTACCTATAATAAAACTTAATCTGTCTTTAAAACCATAAATTAACAACATGTTTATAACAGTGATTTCTCGCAATAAAATTCTGATAAAAATTAACACAACAAAAAAATATAATTGAAAATGTATAATCAAAAACAAATAAAATTGTAAAGTTATATTCTTTTATTTATAATTACTAATTTGCTGTATTAAATTGATTCTTCCTTGTAGATTTAAATATATACATGTACATAGTTGCATCACAGATTGTAGACACAATAATAATTTAAACAACAAATATATCTTTCGCGTTTAAAAATTTTTTTTTAATGTTTCAAAATATACATATTACAGATATTTTTTTACAAGCATACATATGCTTTGTTCCTCCCATTCTTCTCATTCACTTACACCCATCATGACATTGTTTACATTTCTGACACTAAATATATGTGCACAAGAGTTCATATCAATTTCAAAGAACACAGCATAAAGGCAGCACAGGAATGCTCAAAATGTTTCTTACAACACATTTAGAAACAAATTTGTTTAATTGCTGATTAATAAGATTATCAACAGTCCTTGATATCACCATTTCATTATGTTGTACCCAATAATTTGTCTTATTATTTACCAAGCTAATGGCGTATAAATAAAATGGAATTTTGCTTCAAGGACATATAAAACAATCTAAATGGATTAAGTTTATTTAATGTCAGTTAAGACCAGATGAAGATCTTAAAAAGGCATACAATCCTAGGGCCAAAATTGTTACTACTGTAATCGTTTTATAATTTCTGATACGATACGGTATTCTTGGTGTTGATTGTATGATCCTAAGTTGACGTTGTTTTTCTCTCTCCTGACGACTTGCTTCTGCCTTTGCTTTCCATTCCTGTTCTTTACATTTTCTTTTTTGATCATATTCCGTAACATCGTTACTTATAGATTCAGGAGGGTATTGACGATATAAATTTTTCGCTTCAATTAGAAGCGTTTCAAAAGGTAAATCGTCCGGTAGCTATAAATAAAAATAATTCTCACATAAACTAAACGTAATCAAACAAACTTATTTTATTCATATTACCGATGTTAAACTACTCACAGTACATAAAACTTTATGCGTGTGACCCATATCAGGCGTAGTATTAAAAATTTCTGTTGCTCTATACGCTACGATCACAGTACTTAAATAAAGTGGCATCAGTGGAGGACTGCCAAGAAAATAATCAAATAATCTATGTAAGAGTTTTCTATTTTCCGCATATTTGTGCGCATACCACGTTGTGTATTCAGCTAATGCAAAATGCGGAAATAATTCTACACTATAGCAGAAAATAAATTCAATATATAATTTATGTACAAACATTATATAAAATACATGTTTATTATATATAATGTATATATTTATTATACAAACTTTTCCAAATGTTCTAATAAGGTGGGGTGCACTCTTTCCAGCAGGGCGAATATGTAAAATAATTCCTGATTCACTTTTTCCATTGTTTTCTCCATAAATCTTTCAAGGAATTCTAAAGAAATGCTCTCAAGTACACGCAAACCATTTTGCAATCCCATGACAAGAAGAACAGTTGCCGCTATATCATTATATCCCTGGTAATAACTAAGTACGTATTATTTTATTTTGTATTATCAACATACACATGCCTACAATAAATTTTTCCATGATATGAAAATGCATATACAGTACTAACTTCAACACAGAATGCTTGTGAAGGACCCAACACATTAATTGAGTCAACTGTTCTTGAAAATGGTCAATCTCGTGTTGTGTAGCATCTTGAGAAATATGACTGCCACTACGTGCTACATCCTTCAATATCTGTTGATAGATCTCATTCGGTATATGGCTGTGTATAGTTTCCAATCCAGTTACAGAAAAATTGGATTCCTCAGAGAGCCGCAATAGTTTCGGCCATAAAATCCTTCGTATATCATCTACAGATCATCTTTATGACTTCAAAATCTAATTATACCGTACAAAATTATTTTCAATAAGGAACCTATAATCTTGTGTTTTACTGTCTTAAACAAGTTTGTACAATATGGTCTCTAATAGAAGATGCAACAATAAATTATATTATACTGTCGGTTACATTGTCTATGCAGAGAAGTTCCTTATTGATAATAATGTACGATCATAGGGATGAAATACCATTGACTAAACCCTCGCTGCTGCAACCAAGTAGTTTGAGTTCTCCCAATGTAAAGTTCGGATTGACGACGCTTCCGCGAATAACACTTATCTTCATTCGTTCTCTATTCGTCAATGGCTCTGTATCACCAAAATTACGTTCTAATGAACTGTTATCATCTTTGTGATTTAACGCTCCGTTTTGTTTACCTGACAAACTAAATTCTGCGATGTCAGGTATTTCTGGTATAATGTTATTGTACCATGCCTTCGTAGAATCGGACATTTTTACGAGCGGTACGTTACTCTCCGAGTCAGAAATATTTTCTTCCTTTGATGCGAAATTTATCGTTTCAATAACGTTCCTTCGCCTCACTTTTAGGTTATCCTTTTCGATGGGAACCGACATTTCCGTATATGTTTCTGGGATATTGGAATCCAAAGATATTTCATCTTCCTTGGGCTCCATATTGGTCGACATAACGAATTCATGCCAAAATTTTCTCGGGACAATGTTTCATTATACGAAAAATTTACAGAAATCTTCCGAAATCTCTGACAGAATGGTGACAATCTATCAAGAACGACGCACATTGATCACCGTCACTTACTCTCAAGAGAAGTTGCTTATTAATTGAAATTGAGCGGACGTTGACGTGGCTCCTCATTTCTTTTACTTTCATGTTACCACAGATCAAGTGTGAAACAGATGTATTGCACAATTTAAGTTCTCGTAAAGTTTCTTATTTATTTTTAACCCATTGCGCTTCGAACTCCTAACTCGTAATTAATTGAAGCGAAATTTCGTATATCATACACGCAAATGCTTGTCTGTGACTGCGCGAACATCAAAACAAACTTGACATGACGGTACATTTACAAAACTTACGATTCCATAATTTAGTTTGCTGCTAATGTTGTAATAGATGATTCACCACTGTGGTGATTTTGAACTAAATATCGATTTACATTGTAAATGCCGCAGAATATAAAATGTATAATAAAAATTTCTATTGAGTGATAAATCTATGTTGTGTGTTGTTCAAGGTGTAACTTAATCATTTACACTGCTTCGATCGCTATTTCAGAGTAATAAGATTACTGTTACTATACTGTGATCAACGATAAGAAGGAATTTATATTGTAAAATTAATAATTTTATTCGGGGAAAAAAGTAACGAAAACAGAAACAATGGCTAGTTTTCTATATAACGTGCTTTTTAAAAGATCTTCTACGTTTACTGTGACCATTTTAGTAAGTTGTTTCATCTTCGAAAGAGGACTCGATCTGGTTGCGGATCAGATATTTGAACAGGTCAATCAAGGGGTATGTTTAAATACATAAATAAAAAATATTGCTTACTTTCAAAGTACAGTGTTCTTTTGTATAACTATGTTTCAGTATATAGTATTGGTTATTTTTTTATCCGATCTAGTCATTTTCCACTATATAGTAAATGTTATGCCCAGTTTCTTATTTCATATTTTTTGTTGAAGTATTTAATAATATATCATTTTTAAATTATACATGAAAAAGAAATTACGTGAGTTAAATTTCAGCTAATATTTTATTTGCATAAGTTAGATTAAATTTTATTTGTCTTATAAAGTGTTACGTAACAACTAATTAACCTCAACAAAAAAAGAAACAGAAAGAAAAGAGAATTAAGTTGAAAATAATATCATATTTCTCATTTTTATTTCAGAAACTGTGGAAACATATTAAACATCAGTATGAAACATAAAAATGAAAAATATTAATTGAAAAGATTAGATATAAATATATGTATATATATGCAATGTATAAGTATGCTGTTGTATAAATAAAGAACGATCTGTCAAACATGATGTGGATTTATCGCTTATTAAATGTCATATTTAAATATCATTTGTGTTTATGTTATCTTTTTACTGTCAACGTTTTTATTAACAACGAAAGTTATTTATGTTGTTAATATTTTTTATCTGAAATAAGGTTTTCATGTATAATTTTTAATTGCATAATGTAACATAATCATTGTTTAAATAGGTTCAACAAAGCGACCGGAAAACAAAGTCATATTTAAAACAGTATCGATGATCATAAATAAAAATGGTCTGTCCATTTTGATGTCGTTACCGAACGATGAAAGGAATCCGACTGTAATTTCTGCAATATATTGAAAATGTAAAACTTTGGAAGAATGTAAACTGTTTTAGAAGAATCAAATTTAAAAAAAAAGTTTAAAAACCTGTATCGGCTGCAGCTAGCGTTCCTTCTTCATCTATTTCCAACTTGATGTTTTGCAAAATGCTGGTCACATGTATCGAACTGTTGGAGATTAATTTAGTCAAATTCGTATTAGGTTGAAATATATCTTCAATACCCAACTGAAAGACAATTTTAACACTGATATTTATTAAATAAATTCACCATTGAAACTAAATTTATGTGCAATAATACATACGTATTGTAGCGTAGGTATTAAATCAAGATTATTCTCAATGTTGAATTTCGGAAGATGAACAGTAATATCTTGCAATCTTAAATTCGCTAAGATCACAGAAACTGGGATGGTAACTAAATCTTCGGATAATATTCGGAGATATAGATCCTTTTCTCTAGAGTTTGGCATCAACGTTAACATCGATGTTTTACCATCCTAGAAAAATTGCCAATACATTTGCGTTATTATAATAAAATCCTATTTGGTGATTGCATCTGAGATATTTGTCTTACCGAGTATGGAATTTCTACAACATGTGCTTCAATGGAGGCTATATAAGCATATCGGTAGAAGGATTCGTGTTTCATAAAGTATGTTTTTCGGCATTCTCCATTAGGAATATAGAAACATTGCAATTTCGTCTTCGCTGTATCGAATGATTTTAACCAACGCCCTTTAAAATAGATGACTGAAGTCAACATGAGATGCGTATCAGGTGGAACATCATTTAACAATGAAGCGGAAGAAATGGCATTGCGTGTTACACGACGAACCCATTCGTTGATGTGATGCGCGGCACTTTGCTTTTCCGCGAAATTTACAGTTTCTACATCTCCCTGAAAACTTGATCGCAGAATGTTTTTATAAGTATCTAGTATGCGTACGGTTTTGTCTACCCATAATCGTGTATTCAAATCAACTTCTGTACCGTTTTCATTTTTCTAAAATTAAAAAAAAATACGTTCATCCGTAATCGTTATACGTATACATACATATATATTTTTATGAACTTTGATGTCATACGTTTAAAGATGTAAGAATATATTGCATAAGTCTTTCTCTATATGACTGATCTTCCGGTAATCTTAACACTGAAATTATTTCTGATCTCGTATTACCATTCGCACCTTCCATTAACATTGTTAAAAGTACTTGAATACTCGCAGGTGCTGCTATCAGATTTCCATTTTTGTATTTTTTGATCAAAGCCTGCAGTGAAAAAACAAAGGCTACATCAAATGTAATTTCTCTCAATTATTCGACTCGATTAATTTCGAGTTTGTCTTACCTGTGAAAAGTATGTATTGAAAAAGTTATTTCGATTTTTGATATTTAACTTTGTTTGGAAGATCAAGTCTAAAAATAGTTTTATATTAATAATTATATGTAGTTATTTCTTTTATTGTGTAAATAGGAAGACAAAAGATTGTTACCACTGATACAAGTTATCGAGGAACCGTATAATGTCACGAAACAAGAAAAGACGAAACGTAGTTTTTAAGTTTGCCTAGGAGAAAAAGCTTTATGTAATAGGACATGTAACAGTCGTTATATTGTAGATACATAGCAGCAGTATAAGAGATATACAAAGAAAAGAAGATTTTCTATTTTATTAACTACATTTTTTATATACAAAGGTGTTCATTTACGATTGTGCAATGATTAAAAACTATTTCGATATTAGTAAAAGGTCATTTATAGAATAATAGCCAAACTCTGCTACTATAGTATTAGTTGAAAAATAATTGAAGAATCCTTATGAAAAACGCTGTAAGTACCAAAATTAAAAAATTTTTTTATCGAAAAATATTCTACGTGTTAATAGAAATACAATGTAAGTGAGATTTCTTTTTGTAAGTAGTATTAAATTAATAGCATTAAAAAATGACATTACTGGTAGATCCAACTCGTGTCTGTGGAGAAAACTATAAGTGCCAATTGAAGAATATTTGTAGGAACTATTATAAATGCCAAATATCGGATTTTTCAGTCTATTCTGATATATTTATATGCTTTAGTAATATATTCTATTTGAAAATAAAAAGAATATATTAGAAAACATATCTTTGGTTTTATTTAGTAACTTTTTTCTTCTCGAAAAATTCGCACTACCGTTTTCTACAAGTACTCTTCAATTATATATTTTTAAGTTCCGAAAGCCAAATAGAAGAAATTAACCTGCACTTGGTATACCTGGACTAAACGTAGTAGGTGGTGATTGTTGATTCATACTAGACATTTTTTTGGCTGTATCAAGAGGATTCATCATTTTGCCGATATAAATAATCGTTCCTGTAGACTCGTCTTCGATGTAGAATACAAATGGATGATCAGCATGGAAAACTTCCTCCTCGTTTTTATTCCCAATTTCAATTTCTAAAAATATTTCGCATACATTTGAGAAAACAACTGATAAGATGGCAAAAGCAGACAATTTACCAGTAGCCACATAGGCCGCAGTTCCGTTTTCATTTACTTCGATTCCAGCCTTTTGCAAAATATCCGTAACTTTAAGGTGTTCCGAAGTTCGTTTGGTTTGAGCTATGCCCGTTAATGTCGCGGTATCATCAAAAATATCGTTAATACCAAGCTGACGGAAAAGAATGAAATAAACATGAACAGATGGAAAGAAGGAAGTAAAGAAAATAAAACAAGAAAAGCGTACCTTGCGTAAAATAGGTTCCAAGTGACTGGAAAATTCAAATTTAAACTTAGGAATAGAGACATCAACGGGCAAATCTTGCATTTGCCATACGCATCGTGTCAACACGAAAGGATTGACTTCATTGATAAGATGTTCTATTCCATTCAACGTTTGTGGTAAAAGCAGGTACAAAGCGAACTTGTTTCCCTAAAATAAATTAAAATAAATAGAAAAGAAAAATGAAATAGAAGAAAGGAAAGGAGGAGACAGTGTATTTCTCCTACGTTATATGGAATTCGTAGAATTTTTGCGTTCAACTCAAGTGATTCGACATAATAAAATCGACCAAGTGCACGCATAAAAGATGCATTTACAGTTTGATTGTTAATCGTATAAAATTTGCTCGTTTGTATATTTTCTGGAAGGAAATATTGCCGGCGCCAAGATCCTTTGAAGAAAAGCGTATTCATGATCAACATCAAGGAACTCTTCACGCTGTTTTCTGAAAATGGCAAATTCGTTTGTCGAAAGTGATTTCATTACTACTTGTCATTGTTGTTCAATTCTTACCATCCTCTATCATTCGATCGATATTTGCATCGGTAATATTGCTGACCCAGCTATTAATCGCTTGTACGAGTGGCTGCGCATCAGTGAAGTTCGCGGAAATTACGTCTGTGTTGTAATAGTGTTTTACAGTGGCCTTATATTTTTGTCTAATGGAAATGTTCGAATCAATGTAAATTCGAGTTCCAATGTTCAAAGTATACGCCGGAGGATTGGTCTGCGAGAGATGCGATAAGAAGTTATTCTTCTTCAAAGAGAATATATGTATCGTTGCGTTTTATTTTATTTTTTTTTCAGATTTTAAATCTTACGAAATTCAAACTTTCGGAAATTTACCTGAAGCGAGTGCAAAATAGTGGAGAATCTTTTCTGTACAGTACTTTGCGTAGCAGGTAAATGTATCGCGCCAGCGATTTCGTATGCACTTTGGTCTTCAGCTCCTTCATACAATAATACCAATACGAGTTTTAAAGATATCGGCGAGACCAGTATGTTTTCAGTAGAATTTTTGCTCATAGTCTACGATAATGGGAATTGAATGTTGTCAAAATAAAAATATATAATTGAACAATTGATATGTAATTAAAACTTGATGTCTTGATTACTCTAAAAAGTGTCCAATCAAACACGCTAAAGGCTTCTCCTTGATAAGGTACAAATACATCTTCGTTGTGGTTAACAATGGGATTAGCAGTTCCGTTCGTTTTCATCAGAGATGGAAATGTTTTCAACTCTGATTTACAGTGTTTTATAGCAAGGATTACAATGTACGTAACCGCCAAGTAACCTAAAAGTAAATAATACTGCCGTGAACGGTGATTTTTAAGCATGACCATTGTCTATTGTCTGATTAAATAAAGAAAATTCAAATTGGAACTAATACAACATGAGAATGTCAATGCGCTATGATTGTTTTGCTATGTTGAGCATAAATTTACAAATGTTAATATATTATATAATCGTCTAAATTTTAAATCATGTTTTTGTATTCAAATTTCGTAAGAAAAATTAACTTTTCTTACCCATTATTCCAACGATGTTTTTCATGGTTATCGAAATACGTTAGATTCAGGATGTAAAAAGAAACGGCGTGCCGAGTCTGTATTCGATTGTTTGATCTACACAAATAACTTTGCACAATTTGCTAAATAGTTAGTATAATGATTTATGATAAAGCTGATCTCATCCGACTATGAAAACCGGTCTGTCGACTTATCTCTCCATTCGTCCGTCCATCCATACATAAGCTCATACATTCGCTCAGCCTGTTAGCCACTCGATCAGAATTAAACAAGCTTCTTCTGAACAGAGGTCAGATGAAATATTAGTAAATACATCAATACTTTTTCCTTGTTCTTACCAATCGGAATGATATAAGCAAACATGAGTCACGATTGATAGCAAATTAACGTAATCACTTACAGTGAATTTTAAATTCACAAGAATCAATTTAAGCAAACACAATTAAAATGGTTCCATCGCATTTTTATTCGACAATTAATAAATGATTTCACTTTTATTTTTTTTAACTAATCATTCGACTAAAATAGATTTTCAATAATCTATTTTAATGATTTTTTTATCAGTTTCTTTGATTCTTCTCATTTGCTGTCTCCAAAAGAGCAGTCACACTCACGCATTTATTCTGTAATTACATAAGTTTAGTCAGTAATTTTTTTGTCTGTGAAACGAGATTTAACAAAAAATTAATTTCAGTTGCAATAATGAATAGTAAAAACTAGTTACCTGATTTTTCGTAAGACTGAAGTCGACCGTGCAAATCGATCATATAAATTGACACAAATGTGCAAATTATGGTTATGAAAAGTATCGCCTAAAAAAATAAAAAACAAATAAAAATTATAAAAAATAAGCTTGAGCTAAGAATACAAGCAAACTCGTCATGAATATAAAATTCTCATATCCTGTTTAAACAATCTACTTTTTGCTACTTTAAGGATAAGATGTTCATCTTTCCCTGATATTTTCTATTTGGACTGAGCAAAATATTTGTGACTCAGCTTTATATATTTTGAAGACTCAAAAACAGGGGAAGATGATTGAAATAAATCACTAGCAGAAAGTTTTTTTTTTTAAATTCATTACTCTTAACATTATTAAGAATTTGACAGTTGACACACCGCCATACTCTCTGCAAAGAGTGATTCTAAATTCGTATGATACCGAATATTCGCTAGATCGGATAGGAGGATCATACAAAATTGGAATAAATATAATTTATTCTTTATCCTGAATAAGTAGATATTTCTTATGCATTATTTTGAAAAAATAAGAAAAATTATCATTTTATCAGTATCTAAATTATCACGATTGCGTTAATAGAAACGATTCATCTCTTATTTGTTTGCGCAACATTTCAGTCTCATCTTCACTGCTACTACTAAAAGAATTTATTATATTTCTTCGTTTATTCCTTTTTGATTGTCGATCTGATTCTTTACTGTGTTTTCGTTTGCGTGCCAGTTTTTCAAGCTTTAGTTCCGCTTTGTCTAATTCAGACAGTTCGCTGTCTCGCTGAATCTCTTGATCGTAACTTTTATCTTCTGCTACGCAAAAGGAATCCTAAAATTCAACGTAGAAATAATATCGTTTTCAAATTTGTGTGTTTTATATTCACATGATCAGTTACTTTACTTACGTTTATATAAGATTCGTTTATTTCGGTTACGTCCTGCGAATATATATCTATATTGGAATCGAGCAGACGTGGTTGCTTGAAAAGAAAATCACCTTGTCTTTTTATCGGGCTTCTAATGGTTTGTAAATAATGGCCGTGCATGCCCTCTGTATCATGTATATTCTGCGTGTAACTGACAAAATCTTCGAGATCATTGTCAGTTTCAGAACTTTCATCCGTCGTATTGTCGTCTGAAGAAACTTCTGCTTCCTCGTGTATAAACTCATTTTTTGTTTTTTTAAACTTTCGATTACGTTTTCGGGAATATTTTGTTTTTTTCTCTTGACTTTCAAATCTTTTTTTATCACTTGATTCATTGACGAAATAAATACTTGTTTCCTGCTCTTTTACAGTTAAATCATGATTCATTGAATCGTTTTTATTTCTAGAATAATCATGTTTTGAATTCCAACATTTCCCTATGTTTGCTAATTTATTCGCTATGGTTCCATATCGAGAAGCGTTCTGCTTTGAAATGTTTATTGGTTTTTTGACTGAAATCCAGTCTTCGTCATCTGAAAAATATGCTTCCATATTCGTTTCTTTCTCTATTATTGTTTCAGTCTTCTGTTTTTCTTCATTTTTGTTGAATTTCACATGATCTTTTACGGTGCCAGTTGAAACTTCAAAATCATCGTTCCATTCGAATTCGTCTACTTTTAACTCAGTATTGATCGATCGATCGTTTGAATTATTTAAACTTTTTGATTTATCAAAATTCTGTTCATCTTTATATTCAATTAAATTAACGATTTCTTTATTAAAATTTAATTGATCATCAACTTGCTGTAAAAAGCTTTCATCTTGAAATATATCGTCTTCGGATTCATCCAGCACGTTCGAATTGGCTGAATTTGAATTTAATCGAGATACTTCATCGACTGCTTGTGTTATACTAAAAATACGTTTATTTTCAACGTTACGTTTGCATTCAACGTTGCGTTTACATTCGTTAATCAGAACCGAAGAAAAACTATCGTTTACTTCGGTCATCTCCTCAAAATATGTATCGTCTTTTGATTTGAAATTATTATTTAGTCTTATAGTATTCGGAGAATTTTTTACTTTGACATCGTTATTAATATTGGTATGCTTCGTCAGGGTTTGTTCAAAGTCTTCAATAGGATTAATTTCAGAATCGTCAGATGTTTCATTTAATATATCTTCAAAACTGCCGGGTTCCAAACTTTTCAATGTATTATTTTTATTTTCTGCTCCAACTGGTTCTAACATGTCGTTCTTTGTAGATCGATCGGAAGTGATTGAAAGGGCACAAAATAGATCGTCTGATTTACTACTATCATCGAGCAAATCTTCAAATCTAGAAGACAATTGTTGTTGAGGTTCATCAACGATTTCTGTTATGTTTTCAAATACACATTCATTGTTATACAAGTCGTTGTTGTCATCGTTTTTATCATCATCTAATTCGTTTTTATTGACATTAAGTGGAGTAACATCGTTCAGTGTGATTAAAAAATCGAGGATTTTAATATCCGGTATAGAAAAATTAAAAAAATTTTTTATGGAAGAATATGGCGGTATGTAAAATTTATCGATTTTACACTTATTCTTTATTATCTCTTCTTTTTCAGAGATTCTTAAAGCACACGTTGTAAGGAAATCAATGCCATCATTGTCAGAAGAAAGAATTTTCACATCTGATAATGGTATATCTTTATAAATATTGTTACTTTCAATTACCTCGGAATTAAATACTTCGGAACTACACTTCGCATTCTCTTTACTTTGTTTAACTTTCAAATACTTCATCATCGAAAATTTAGTTCCTTCTTTTTGCGACTCAAAATTGGATTCTAAAATTAACATACAACATCAATAGAATTTACAAATAAATACAAATGTATAACTTTGTTACCTGGTTTGCTAATCCTTTTTAAGATATTTTGATGTTTTTTTTCTTTTTTATTTGATTTTCCTTTATAATTTTTATTTTTTGTAACTGGACTTTTTGGTTGTATACTAATCTGCATTTTTAGACATTCTGGTTTAAAAACATCAGGTATCATACGAGGATTATTTTCATAAAGTGAAGAAAAAATGTTACTCGTATTTAATATCTTAAAGTTCAAAGAATCTCTCCTAGCCATTGTTGATTTTAATGTCTATAATATTAGAATACTATAATTTAACATATAAAACATTTTATATATTTTGAAAGATTGTACTTTTGATTACCTCGTGTTCTCTACCATCTGTGACAAGAATAATTATATGTCCATCGCGTTTTCGACCTGTTCTTCCCATTCTTTGTACTAACCGCGTCGGTGAATGTTGAGATACATCGAAACATATTATTAAATCTACTTCTCCAACATCCAATCCTTCTTCTCCTACCAATACCAGGTTTTACAAAAATTTATTTTCATTAACAACGTGTACTGCTTTTTACATTACTATCGTGTATGTTGTATTACCTATACTAGTAGATATAAGAACATTAACATGATTATTTCTAAAATCCTCCAATGCTTTTATCTGCTGTTTTTGTTTCTGTCCAGCTTGACCAACAAACATTTGTGGCCTTATTAATGGTTGGCATTGTAATAACAGAATATAAATTTCATTCACGATATCTCGATACTGTACAAGAGGGAAATAATATATGTCGTATATAAAATTCTACTGTCAGTGAATTTGAAAATCACGAACCTCAACAAACACTATAGCTCTTGTATCGCTTTGTTTTTCCTGACTATCTTTAAAATGACACAAAAGTAGTTCTTTTAACTTATCAAACTTGGTATGGCCAAATGTAAGATTTTGTGATATCTGAAATTAATTTTTAAGTTATACACAAAAAGATTTCAAGTTTCTTGTACTTTATGTAAGTTTATACAAACTTCTATTACAGCCTCTTCAGATAAAATGTTTATATCTGGGAATGGACCAAGATAAGTATTAATATCTTCAAGTAACATCTGCAATTGTGGTTCTTCATTCATCCAAAATTTATCAGAATGATCTATCAAAATAATGTACAGATTATTCAAATATAAATTATATAAATAAAGTGACAGAAAAAAGTGAAAATTCCATACTTTGATAAAATTTATAAAAAGCCCTAAGGCCATCTCTAATCATAAGTTCATAAGCATGGTACATTGTTATTAATATATTTAATGTCTTTATAATTTGTCCATCATTTCCCGATTTATTCGTTTTCTTTTGATATTCCTTTAATAAATGAAATATCTGAAACAGCAAGAGAAATTTCTTTGGAGTATTATTATTAAATATTCAATAAGGTAACTTACCCTTCCTTTTGAAATATTTGCTGTTTGTCCACGAAGAATATTATTTTGAAGTAAAATTCTAACATGACGATCCATAATAATGATATATCTCTCTTTGTATTCAGTTAGTTTGCTGCTAAGTGGTACTAAAATTATATCAACTTTTCTTCTATTAATATAAGGTATAATATCTAAAGAAGATTCATCTCTTAATTCTATATGAGCAATTAGTAAATTTTGTAGCACCTATAGAAAATATGACTTAATTATTTCTAAAATTATAGTACAATTACAAAAAGATTTTGTAATCTATTTAATATTAACAAAATATACCTCATGAACATTATCAATTTTATTTCCTGGTGTAGCAGAAAGGGCTAACACCCTGAAATTTTGATTTTTTCCATTTAATATACGAATGCACTGTGGATATAAAACATATTATTACTTGATTCATTAAAAGATAATGAAAAAGATATTCCTTTATTCATAAATGATAACCTTTTTGTATAAAATAAATACCTCACAATAAGAATGTTTCCCCAAAGCTTTATGAGCTTCATCTATAACTATACATTTTACTAAATCACTTGGTATAATATTTTTGTCTAAATCATTATGAAAAACTTGAGGAGTAGCAAATATTACTCTTTTTTTTAACCAAGCTATTTCACGCTGCTTGTGATTGACTGCTCCTGTAATATAATATAATATTATTAATAAATAGATAAATTATATAATATTTTAAACTTCATAGATTCTTAATATATTATTGATATACCTGTAAGTTCAATAGTTTCTGAACTAGGAATACCCATTGTATTGTGACATGCAAAAATTTGTTGAGCAACTAATGGTTTCGTAGGTGCTAAAAACACAACTTTGCCACATGGATACCATCTCCAAAAATTATACATTACAACTGCAGCAATAAATGTTTTTCCTAATCCTAAAAAAGATAAAGAAGGAACAAAAGAAGATAAACATGAAGTATACATTCTTGTTTGGATGCAATATTCTTAACAAATATTTACCAGTAGGTAAACAAACCAATGTATTCTTGTATAAACTTGCTTGAACTATATTGAACTGATAATCTCTGACAGGATAATTTTCAGGATAAATCCATGTTTTACCAGCTGATAAATCAAATCCTTTTGTTTTTTCGTCAGATGAGATCTGAGGACTTTGTGACAATTCCATTTGCACATTCTTTTTTCTGGTTAAATTACAGAAAATTTATATATTTTATTAATTTAATATATTTATATACACTTTAACAAAAACAATTTTTTTAGCATGATTTATGTTTAAAAGTTATAATTTCCATATATAAGCAGCAATAATAACTAGTCAACTTATGAAAAAAATATTACGAATAATTGTATTACAAACAATGAATTAATATAATTGAATACAATTATTGTACGATGAATCTTGCTCAAACTTAAACTTTGTTCGCTTTGCTCATCTAGTAAAAAAATTTACATCACTAGGGAATTTTTTCAAACGATAGAAAAATAGGATCTTTCCATCGTGAGAAATATCACGATATTTTTCATTTTGTACACGGATATGAAATTAATAGAAAAATCGTTTTTACCACAATATGTTAATCGTAAAAACGTTATCAATGTCATAATTATTAATGTCTTATAGGAAATACAATAAACTTATATAGAGAGAGAAGTAAGGGAATGGGAATGTTAAGAATTAATTAGAAATTAATTTATTATACGTAAAGATATACAGAAAAGAATATGATCGTTTCAGTTTGGATCATATAGCATATAAAACAGATACAGATAGATGTAATCATCTTTACGCAGCTATATATGAACAGTGCTTAGTAAAAAGAAACTAAAAGCCGAAATATAATAGACTAGATCCCACTGATTAGGATGTATGATTTGTCGATAAATGACTATTTAATGCAGCTTTGTGAGTAAATTTTTTTAAACAAATCAGACATTCATGAGTTTTTTCATTTATGTGCACAGACAAATGTTTTTTCAGTGTTGCTTTATCCTTAAATATCTTTTGACATGCACTACATTCATATGGTCGTTCTCCTGCGTGTACCAATATATGACTATTTAACGTTGTTTTCTGAGTAAATGCTTTATGACATACATAGCATTCATATGGTCTGTCACCAGTGTGACTTAACATGTGTTTCCGCAATGAAGACTTCTCTTTGAACGTTTTGTGACAAATATGACAGGCATGACGTTTATCACCAGTATGTATAAGCATATGAGAATTTAATCTAGTTTTTTCTCTAAAGGCCATGTTACATAATTCACAGGCAAATGGCTTTTCACCTGTATGTATCAAAGTATGTCGATTTAAATCCGATTTACGGGTAAATATTTTGTCACAAACTTTGCAATCATATTGACCCCCTGTATGTAATAGCATATGGCTATTAAGATCGGATTTTCGGGCACACGCCTTATGGCATATATGACATTCGTGTGGTTTTTCACCCGTGTGCACAAGCATGTGAGAATTTAATTTTGCCTTTTCTCTAAAAGTCATTAAGCATTCTTTACACTCATATGGCCTCTCTCCAGTGTGAACCATCGTATGCCTTATTAATTCTGATTTTCGTTTGTACGTTTTTTCACAAATATTACATGCATGAGGTTTCTCACCGCTATGCGCTAACATGTGATTGTTCAATGCTGTTTTCTGTGTGAATGATCTGTGACACATTGTACACTTGAATTGTTTGTTCCCACCATGTAATGTCATGTGCATGTTCAACTTTGCTTTTTCCCTAAATGCTGCAAAACATACATCGCATTTATATGGTCTTTCCTCTGTATGAGTAAGCACATGACGATTTAGACTAGATTTCTCTTTAAATGTCGTGTGACAAACATCACATTCAAAAACTCTTTCCTCTGTGCTCATTGATTGATCATGCTCAGAATCTGGTCTTTTCATAAACACTTGTTGTAACGTATCATTGTCGTATGGTTTTTCTAGCACATGCATTTGCATGTGGCTACGTAGACACCATTTGTAAGCGAATCGTTTTTGACAGACATTGCACTCCAATGGACTCATTCCAACATGAGTCAACATATGAGCATGTAAACTGGAACTATCCTGAAAATTTTGTTGGCAAACCTCGCACTGATTTCCACTACAGTGCATCCTTAGATGAGTGACCATGGAATCATTATTTAAAAACCATTTCTTACAAATAGAACACTGTATTTTATAAAATTTCGGCTGCTGTCCATTTGGACAAAATCCAGAATGTTTCTCTGCATCATGCACTTGAGCAAAGTTTGCATTTGTTAAGCACCTTTGCATAGCACCATCTTCTTTGTCACACAAATTTGTGCTTGCGATTTGCGCCGTCCAGTTTTGATGACTACTGGATTCTCCATCCAATTCAAGTTTCACCTAGAATTGTTTTGTTGGATCGATTGACTCTTCTACAAATGAAACTCAGTCGCTGAGAATTTTGAATGAAATTTACCATTTCATTAGAGAAGTCAACTTCATTATTTTCGATAGGTAAAAATACCTTCTCGAATGTCCCAGAGCAGATGTCCTCCATGTAGTCTGGATCAAATCTATCGCCGGGTTCTTCCTTAAGTACAACGCTTACAATGTTTTCGTCCTTAAAGTAAGGTTTAAGTTAGAGTCCTTGTGGAAGCATTGTATTGTATGGTGCTGCTGTTTCATAGAAAACGTTTACCATAACCTGACTGTCTATGTTTAACGCATCCATCGGTTCATCTTTCACTTTAAAATCTTCCATTTGCTACGATTTATTCTGAAAATAAAATTTATTTATTTAACTCTATTATGCCCTGCATACAAATAATTTGATTATAATATAAAAAGCAGAGATCATTTTTCAGATATGTAGCCAATAGTATATAAAGTCGAGTAACCTTAAATGTGTACGTGCGGTGAACAATTTAGTCGATCCAAAGGGTTTTACACATGGAATCATTTTATTTATAAAATTTTATTTCGTACGATCATTTATTCCGTTATCTGTTACGACCGAACCAATAGCAAACGATGATTCTTCTATATCTATATACTTACTACGGAAATTGCATATTTCACCCACAAAGCAGAACAGGCAAATCAAAATCTGTTAATTCCTATTCTTCTTATTTTTCGTTTGAAACGTTTTTAGTTTCTTGTATATTTTACGGTTATACACATATCCTATTATTTTCTTGCAAAAACTTATATCTGCTGGATCGATCGATTTACTTCTATATCACGAAACTATACTGCGCGTTCCACTACATATGACAAGCAAACGTTACATAAATACCATGCATCTACTACACAATTATATGCATGTAAGTACATGCATAAATTCATTACTTGACCATGCCACTATCTAATAAATTTTACATAGGATTGCACGTTGAATGATCGCGCTCAATAATGATATATTATGGAATACATCTTTTTCAATACATGTTACATGTTACATGTACAACATATTTATTTGCAATACATTCCTTTAAATTAAAAAAATGAGAAGGAATCAAGTTATTTACTTCAAATCGAGTTATTTATTGCAAATATTTCACGGCTTAAATGAGGTTAACTTTTCCTAATTATGCATTTTAATTTCTTTTTCCTCTTTTTTTTTTATTTTCTTCATGATCCTTTTATAATTGATGTATTTTCTACTTTAGTCAAATAATCGAAAGAATTCTGCAAATTAGATTAAACCTTCATTAATTTATACTGTACTTTTGTTACTCATGTAATAAAGATAAAAGACAAAAATAATCAATTCAAAGTTTCTAACATTAATTTATGTATTTACTTCTATCATAAATAAATGATACTTATGGCTAAATGTATACAGCTGTCTATCTACGTCTTTTCTTTAAAAAAAATTGATTTATTTCATCTAAACATCTTTTGTGGTGTATACAGGAAAAAATCACTTAAATTGGCTGACGAATTTTCATAAATTGTAATATCTTATTAATACTTTGTCAGTAAGAAGGATATGTAGCTGAGTGATATTTTTAATATCTGAAACGGTGCTAAATAAAAAACAAAGACCAAAGGAGCAAAATAAAAAAGAAGAAAAAAATATCTTACATTGCAAAATGTTAGCAACGTTACAGGAAATAACTTTCCCGCCGTTAAATGAAGCGGTTTCTTTGATCTTGCCATGATTATTATCAAGTTTTTCGCTTTCCTAGATTTCAGATTTACCCACTCGCATTCGTATGCGGCATCGTGTATTCTCTCAGACTATATGTGTTATAAAGAGATTTTGAATAAATATAAATAACCGATGCAATCGTGAAAAAAAAATGAAATCTAAATCTTTACCTACTTGTGTTACTAACATTTGTCCCGCCATGAAATAGAGAAACGTTTGAAGAAATGTATTTGCAAAATTACAAATTAAATAGACCACTCGAATTACAGAAAATTCCTCTTTTCCAGCGGGTACCTAATTTTAAGAAATATTTAAATATCACAGTTATCAGTTTTGTGATAACATTTTGTGATCAACATCTTGTGCAACAATTGCGATCGCATTTATTTTCGATACTTACTGTGATTAACAATAATCCATAGATACAAGCACACGTACCAAAATTAATTAACAACGCAAGAACTAACAGCGTTGATGTATTTTCTATCACGTTAATCGCTCTATAATTTTAATTGTATATGTTTAATAAAAATATTATATATATTTGGGAAAAAAATAGAGAAAAATAATGCAAATATATGTAACAACGTTACGAAATATATACCTGATGAGTCGTATGTGATCTTCTACAGTAGCTGCTAAAATCTGATTTGATGTCTGTGATTCTTTCATATTTGAAAGATGAAAACGAAGGTTTTCTAATTGGCCACAAATATGAAGGATTACAACTCCAAAAAAATTATCAATCCCGGTATAACAGAATGTCGCTACCAGTAGACTGGTAGATTGGATAATGTACATAATTTCAAAATATGGAGTTTCGGAAACATCGTACATGTAATAAGTTGGTAAAGGGAGAAGTTTCTTTATGTCGGTTACATTCGTTATATATCGAATAGTGATCCCGAATCTCGGGAAAACCATTAGCAACCATATTAAAATACATACTAATATGTAACCAAATATATTAATTGTTCTTGCCATTCTTGCTCGTCGTATCATTACACGTTCTTCAAAGTCCGTTTTCAATTTAGCCCAATCTTCGGCAATCATATTTACGATTGGCAAGAGAACTTGAAAAAAAAGGAAGCGACGTGAAACACACTGTTTCCTTTTTAACAAGAACGAGCTTACCTTCTTTTTTACTGGACACAATAATAAACTTTATTACTGTTATAGTCAAAGGAATAGAATATGCAAGATTGTCCGTCACCTCCATTAAAGTGTCACATTCTTTGATCAAAGCATATAGGCAAGGAATCGTGCAAACGAAAGTAATTAACAGAAAGTATGCCATTGTACGTAATTTAATCCAAAACTGTTTTTTTATATCTTGTTCTTCCGCAGGCCAAAGACATATTGCACTCAAACTAAACCGATTCAATTTTACTGCCCATTCGTAGTCTATGGATATATTAAGAGAGCAACGAAATTAATTAAGATTAGCAATAAGCAAAAATCATTGAAGAAATGTCAAGTAATTATAAAATACACCTGCGGTATGTTTCAACTTTAACTCATTCATCGCATTCAAATTTCTTTAAATGTACAGATAATTGTTACTCTTCCCTTCTTTCTTCTAACGCACGAACAACGTTAAAAACGTCAGATGACAGTTTTAAATACTCACGGTAATGACCTTACGATGCAGAAAAGATAAGAGAATGTTTAATTCATTCATTCTGTCCTGTGTCGTGAGAAACGAAATATGTTTCCAACATACAAGTTGCTTGTTAACATAGTTACTTTTTCACCTGTGAAAATAACTGGAAAAAACAGCGATGAAACATTTTGTTCAACTAAACTTTTAAATAGACAGAGGGAAATAGTTTCCCCTTTCTCTCGTACATTTTTAATAGTTCTGATGAGTTCGGACGGTCGATCAACTAGATCGCGTAAACGCTTTCTTTTTTCCATCTTCAGTAATTCAGTTTGAAGCAGAACCGAACACTTCATGTCGCGATATTATATCCTGCTTTTTCTTTTTGTTTAATTTGACAGTATTTTCCTTTTTTCAAAAATCAGAGTGCGAATACTGCAAAACATATATATCTGATTTATGTGTATAATTATTTTCCAAATGTTGTTTTAAAATCAAATTCGTGAACAGACGGATTTTTCTCTTCGTTCAATGTATGTAAGCACTGTACAATACATATGTATGCAAAATGAAGGAGGACTGCAATAGAGATATTAAATGGAATATTTTCGGTCTATATACAAAAGTTTAAAAAATTGTTTAATAAGATGTATCTAAAATTCAAATGCAATATATATTCATTTGATTTCAGATCAAAATTACTTTCATGAACATTTTACGCAATTATTAATTATAAAAATTTTCGTACAACTTATTCCTCGAGAAATTGTGTTGCTAACATGCTGGTTAGAATGATAGTGAGTCGATGTATCCTTTCTTTTTGAATCAGGAATTGCTTTCTCCTGGCATAGTTTTCTATGCGTTATGTTCTTTCTGGTAATCTCATTGCAGGTGCTACCTCACGCACATTTGAGTAAATTGTCACGAGCCAAATGCCAAGAAAGATTCGTAAGCTCTCCGCGTGGAGCGCCGGTGTGTGAACTACCTGTCGAAAGGCTAAATGCCGTATTTACTTATTTTAATTACTCAAGTTTTTTATGTTTCGACGCTATCTTGATTTTGACATTTTTTTTAGAACGGTGTGACGTTAACGAAAAATAGCAATTCCCGTCAAATCTAACCAACAGTTCAGAGAAACTACTTTAAGGTAATCGCATCACGTACTGGTAGGCGTTGCTGTCATTTGGCTTCTCTTCGTCTTTATTATTTTCTCTAAATTTACGGCCATACAGTTTTCTTGTGAATCACATCTTTCTTCCTTCTCGAATCAGAATAAATATTAATTTCTCAGTTATTTTCGGTTGTGTACATTCAATAATATATAAAAATCATTCTTTGAATAATACACTTGCAATAAACATAATTGACAGATTCTAATGTGTTGTTCTCTAGGATTTTCTTGTCATTTGAAAATTGTGGTTAGATACTTGTTCAACTATGTATTCTGCGAATATGTAAACATATACAAAGCAGAGTATTGTGTGATTTTAGTTGTGTCCTAAGTATGTTAGTGTGTTAATATAATTATTACAGAAGGGGCAATGTTTGCTAAGAAGAAAAAGAAACCACAAATATCTACACCGACAAATTTTGAACATCGTGTACATACAGGATTTGATAAACGTGAAGGAAAATTCATTGGACTTCCATTACAGTGGGCTTCTATTGTTGGAAACAATCAAATTTTAAAATCTACAAACAGGCCATTACCTTTGGTTGATCCAAGTGAAATTACACCTACAGAAATTTTAGATTTAAAAACTATTGTTCGAGGTCATAATGATCCAAAAGGAAGGACTTCTACCGGTGATAAGAATACTGAGAATGGGTTACCCAAGACTAGCACTGTTGCTAGATCTAATTCTCTTCGTTCCTCGAGCCCACCAAGACTCAGAAGGGATTATAGGTAATCTTTTTCCAATTGTGAAATTAAGATACTATAAATATTAAATGTTTAATTACATTTTTATTTTATAGGCATAATAGTAATTTGCCACCATCTGTACCAGAAGGACAAGAAATACCATCTGGTACTAATCAAGTACAAGGATATACTAACTTTGGAAAGCAACATAATTATTTTGATAAAATGAGACAGAATTCGCCTAATGTTGCAAGTACATTGCATCCTAATACACAAAGCATGATTCCAAATCTTCAAAATCTTAATCCAAATATGCAATCATCTCCTAATTTAACACATGTTGGTTCTAATGCCCAGAATTTATCTCTAAATTTCCAAAATTTGAGTCCCATTACAACTCCACAGTGTCCTATGCAAAGTCCTGGTACTCCTCAACTTATAGATTCTGAATTTCATAGGCTAAATACTCAAATGACTACATCTGGACAATACAATGGAAATGCCCAGGTAAACAACACTTAATTGTTACATTTTGAATGTTTAAAAATACACACCATTTCTTGTATGTATGTACAGATTTCAAACATTGAAACATCATCCAGAGATCAACAGATGACCCAAAATACTTTTTTGCATAAGTTGCAACCTAAAATTTCACCTGTAGGATCCATCGCTTCGCAGCGACCATTGAGTCAATTAAGTACACATAATGTTAATAAATATTCACAAGCATACAGTACACCAGAAAATTCGTCCATTTTGCAATCCCATATAAAAAGACCTATCGAGACGTCTCAATCGATGCATAATTTGTCAAAGTCTAATTTACCGTCCTCTGGAAATAGTTTGACACCTGATCAAAATCAAAATATGAAAAGTGCTCTGTCTTCGGGAAATCTAGCAGTTGGCTCAAGTTCCAGTACGACAAACAAACAAACAGCAGAACAAAGACTCACTCATGAACAATTCCGAGCGGCTTTACAGATGGTGGTAAGAAAATAAAAATTAGCGTCAATAATGAACGTTAAAAGAATACGATACTTTGAAGTTTATATTTGGTCTTAATCATTTAATAGGTAAGTCGAGGCGATCCAAGAGAAAATCTGGAAAATTTTCTTAAAATTGGAGAAGGAAGTACTGGAACGGTATGTATAGCGACTGAAAAAAATACAAATCGACAAGTGGCAGTGAAAAAAATGGATTTAAGAAAGCAGCAACGACGTGAACTGCTTTTCAATGAAGTGGTTATCATGAGAGATTATCACCATCCAAATATTGTCGAAATGTATGATAGTTTCTTGGTAGATGATGAATTGTGGGTCGTGATGGAGTACCTTGAAGGTGGAGCTCTTACAGATATTGTAACACATTCTCGAATGGACGAAAGTCAGATTGCCACCGTGTGTTCTCAGTGTTTGAAACCACTTGCATATTTGCATTCCCAAGGTGTTATTCATAGAGATATCAAGTCTGATTCTATATTACTAACGGCTGATGGTAGAGTTAAATTATCTGACTTTGGATTCTGTGCTCAAGTATCTCAAGAATTGCCTAGGAGAAAGTCTCTTGTTGGTACGCCATACTGGATGAGCCCAGAAGTTATTTCTAGGTAAATATTTATTCCGCTTTATATCAAAAGTTCATTCGCAATATATCGCATCAATATAAATAATGTATATTCATTGTTTCAGGTTGCCGTACGGTCCCGAAGTAGACATTTGGTCATTAGGTATAATGATCATCGAAATGGTCGATGGAGAACCACCGTTTTTTAATGAACCTCCTTTACAAGCTATGAGACGTATTAGAGATATGCCTCCACCAAAGTTGAAAAATTCTCATAAAGTGAGCTCAAAATATCCCACAATATGTTTATATAGACACAATGATGAACATATATTAATTACATTTATTGTTGCTATTGTTATTGTAAAGGTCAGTCCACGTCTTCAAGGATTCCTGGAGAGAATGCTTGTTCGTGATCCGGCACAAAGAGCCACGGCTACTGAATTGTTGCAGCATCCGTTTCTTAGGCAAGCGCAAAGTCCAAGTATTCTAATTCCATTGATGAGAGGTTCCAGACATACAAATTGCTGACAATTTGGTGTAAAAAAAAACTGGTGTGGTAATTGATTCATTCAATTGATTCAACACGGACATAGATTACAAATGTAATCGTGTTTATGATTGTTTTTTTTTTTTATTTTTTTTAGTTTGTTGTCAGATGTTACATTTTAGACTATGTAGAATGTAGGTACCTTTAAGTGGCCTTTGATTATTGAGGAAAGAAATTTATATTCCATTGTGGCTTTAGAAGTGTTATAAATTTATCAAATATTGCCTATGATTGGCATTAGCGTCGTGAAAGATATTTTTTATATCGAATTATTTAACAAAATATTGTACACATCCAAGTGCCTTCATAAGCTGTTTCTTATCTATGAGATCATTTGTAAAGTAGTAGATACAAATCTTATACCGTTCCGTTAAATGACGCGACTAATCAGCAAAACGTTGCCGATTACTCTTATAAACTTGTTAACATGTACTTAAGGTAAATAATGAATAGTCATATTTAAATCAGAAACGCTGATAAGACAGTAACGCCGAGAAGTATTCCGCAAAAAGAATTACTATTGAGTAATGCACTGCCTAAAATTAGCGAATTCTACGCCGTATAGTTTAAAAAAACAAAGCATTGACATTTTATTTTAATTTATTCGATATGCGTTGATATGACGCTTTAAATACACGCGACTGGAATAAGATCATCCAATTTTTGAAGGCTAACGTGATAAATAATCACTATAAAGTGATTATTCAAGATACTATTGAATCCAGTGCGCTTTATTCAGTATTCTTAATATATAAAATGTGTAAGAAAGTAATCTCTTAGGTTCAAAGATGCACTAAAAAAAGAAGGTGCCGTTAAGCAAATAGACAACTATAGTTATTAAAATACTTTTCAATGTGTAGATATTTTACGTGGAACACTAATAAGAGAAATTTTGAACAGTAATTGTTTCATTACATTAAGATATCTTAAGACAAACAGCAATGATTCCCAATGCCATTTATTTTGATCGAATAGAAGATCAAAATACAGTACGGACAAAGGCCATCGATCAGATAGACAACTTATGAACATGATAATTTAAGATTTAAAGTATACATAGCACTAGAATATTTTAAAAATGTAGATATTATTGAATATCACTACATAGATAAACCATATGTACGCAAGAATAACAATCACGAAGTGAAATGAATCTACCTAGCTACTTTTGCTCGCCATTCATAAAAAAATATCTTTTTAAGAAACAAAAATTATGTAAAACAATTTTTGTAAGTCTCATGCCGCCCTCTTTTTCTATCTGTTTCTATTTTTCTCCCTCCCTCTCCCCACAAACGTACAGGTATGCATGTGTGACAACAAAATATGTATACGATAAAATATTAATTACCAATAATTGATATTGAACAATTTAATAGAATAAAATTCAAAAATATATGATAAAATGAAAAATAAATTTATTCTGAATAATATAAGTTTGGCATAATTCAAGTATATTAATAAGCATTTACAAGAATACACTTTAAACATAATACAAAGTACAATATGTATTTTTTATTCCATTAGTGACATTAGTGACATTAGTATTCTTTTACGAAAATTTACATATTGTCCCGATAACAGGAACATGAACGGATTTCTGAACAATTACATTTGAGCCTGATAGACATTTAGGAATTGAACAAAAGTTAAAAAAACTTACGTTATCTTTCGATATTTATTTTGATTTCAAAGATCTCGATCGTAATAGAGAAAACATTGGGATTCAAGGAAATCCATAAATTCTTATGCAATATACGTTATGATTGCTTCAAGGATAAAGAAGCATCGACGACGCAAGGAAAAGACAAATTGAGTAATACACAAAATGAAATCAATTTGTCGTACTTTTAACTCGTCAGAGGCGCTAGCACATGTATACGTATATAATTTCAAACGTGTATTGGTTCGTGGAGAAAGATAGATTTGAAATGCTATTAGCCGATTGGTGGAACGTGACGAGCCTTCGCATTATGCTTGGTCACTGGCGCCACTGACGTTTCTCAACCAATTTAACCAATGTTTTTTCATGAATTGCATCGCAAGGAATTCACATTGTTCGAGTCATACGTCAAATATTTGTCGAGGAAAGTAACAGACTTCCGTAATTCATAATTGAAATTCATTTAGAGTTCATTTACAATAATGCTTTCTTCATTCGCTGAATGTATGGAATTCTACACGGAATTCAAAGGTAAAAAGGAGCTCTTGCATACTGTTACATGACCGTGTACAATAGCCTTTATTATAACGTGTATTCTTACATTTGCGGCCTTCATTCATATCTTGCATGATTTGATGAAAACTAACAGCAATTTTCTGATGTAAAAGAGCATGTTAAGGTGAGTTGAAACACTTGAAACATTAATCCATCCGATGGTTAAAAATAAGAATTCAAGGTAAACATTCATAGTAAATGATGCGTATCATAACAAGTTATTATGTACATAGATCTGCAGTCCATATTGTGATTATTGGCAAAATAGAGCCAATGAGAAGACAAGTTCTGCGGAGGCTCGACTCGAGTTGACCTCGAGTCAACATCGCGTGTCCGCCTTTTCAAGAGGAACGTGACGAACAAATTTGCGGGTTATTGCGTCATTCCGTATCAATGTCTGCTCTCTCTTTCATTCTCTGCCTCTCTTTTACACGCACACGTGTACGTGCTCACGCAATTTCGACGTGATACGCGTCACGTTTGTGGTCATAGATACGAAAATTTGGTAATTACTTTTTTTATAAAATTCCATTTTATTTTATTCTTCTCTTAGTACGTATTTTTCACAGTTCAGCGCGATGTAAAAATATCACCATGCTGTATACATTATCGTAATCAAGAAACTTTTTATCAGCAGAACAAAGGTCTTTAAATAATAAATGAGATAATTGTAATGCTAAACGCCGACGATGCTAATTTACATACAAATATAACGCGGGGAAAAAATCGCAGTAAGATCCTGTATGCATCGTTACATAAAAATTTCAGATATTATCATCATTATTTGTCATACATGTCATCAGATATATAACGTATCGTGAGAAAGATTGGACAAAAGATTGCGGATATATTTAGCCAATCCATCGATCAATAGATCGATCAAGAATGTTGATAAAAACATGCGGGATTATGAGGCTAAAGATCTAGCTAGTAACGTCATACTGTGATTTAAATTATACGAAATCGACATAAAAGTTAAAAGATGGAAAAAAATTAGCGGAATGATAAAAAGAAAGAGAGAATGGACACGCGTGTGCATATGTTACGTATCGCGATATGGTAGAGGAAGAAAGACCTGCGGGGAATAAGAGAATCAGGAAGGGATAGAGGATAGGAGGGAGCAGAGAGTGCAGGGTATAGAAGAGGAAGAAAAAAAGGAACACAAGAGGTGGCGGCAACTGCGAGGTCATAAATATAAGCGCTGTTATACCCTTCTACTATTCGATTGGTCGAGCCTCCGGACGAGCCTCCGCACTTGTGACGACACGTAACGCCGGGCAACGATAGAATGGACAATCGACACGGTACCGGGTGCTCCGACAAGGAGGAAGGGGAACAAAAAAAGAAGGATCCAAGACGAACCAGACGGGGATAGTAGAAACGAACAGGCTACGAACGAAGAAGAGAAGAAAGGAGCGACCTTCGAGCGCTGGATCGTGATTACGTGCTGGTTATATCGTAGCAGATCATAGTATATCCCGTTCTGCATTCTGTCGCGGAATCCGCCGAATCCGCAAATAAACCTGTTTAACTATGAGTAAAATGTAACGCTATACGACAAATCTTGTTCAGCGTTAATTTTCGAATGAGCTCGAACGTTCGATCTCACATACGAATTTCATACAAGTGACATAACTGTTTAAAAGCGATCTGGAATGAGTCACGAGAACATTCGAAATTTCATTCAAAAAATTTATGTAGCGGACGTTGAACCCTTTTCTTTTGATATCTATAATCTATTACGTTTTCGATAATGGATGGATCGAAATGGATGAAAATTTTGATTTTAATTACGTTATCTCGTGACAATGATAAGAGAAAACGAAATATACTTTGCGTTTTCAGGTGTTATTTTAATTGACGCGACTAACGATAATTTAGTCTCAAAAGTTTTATCTTTCAATCTCAATGAGTAATGCGATAACTTATGATTTGGCCGTAAAAGAGCAGGTAAGCTTTTTTTTGTTGCGTTCTAAATACGTGTATAGCTTCAACTAAAGGTAATACATTTTCAAGTTCAAGCAGCATCTTTGATGGATCTTCATTCTATAATCATCTGTCTATGTATTCTCGTAATCCAAGTTTAAGCGTATAACTTCAAAAATTGCAGGAAGAAAAAAGGAGGAAACAGAGAAGGGAAGCTCGAGGAAGGACAGTAGGAAAAAACGTGGAAAATATTTTATGCGAAAGACCGGGGGAGAGAAGAATAGAGAATGGGAGCAAACAATGAATAAAGAAAAAAAAGAAACGATGGTTAACGTTTCGGTCGGTTGGTTTGGTTATTTTCCCATTCGTTGAATAGACCACTCTTGCTGGCATAATGGACAACGATTGTTTTGTTGAACCCAAAGTGACATGCAACAGTAGTGAAACGAATGATTGCATTCTCCCCAAACGACAACGCAGTCTTGCCGGCTATCGTCCTTTTTGCTTTCCGCTTGACACCGAAGACACGCATCTGAAAATTAAAAATTAGATACATTATCGGATAGAGAATGAAAGAAAGTGGCATCTAAGCGATATCTCTTTTTATTAATCCCATACGTGTCACACTGACATAGTATTAATAAAAAATTTAAAAAAAAATTATAGATAATCCAAACGTATACAATGGCAAAGCAATGCATATATTATACGTTAGGACGAGTAACTTTTGGCTCCGTGAACTCGAGAGAATTGAAAGATCTGACACGAGTATTAAATCGCTTGTGAAAATTCAAAATGTAAAATGCTTCGAGTGAAGCAAGTCGATTCGCCGACCAACCGACAACTATCATCGATATCGTCTCGATTGGCGTCTACTGTCTCGAATATAAGAAGTATGTATACATACGTATAACTAGTAAAATTCCACTGCCTTATCTAGTAATTCTAGGTGCGATATGTTTCTTATAAATAATTACTAAGAAATTAATTTCTCAGAAAATTAGATGGAAAATTATAAGTGTCGTTTGAAAATGCAACATTTGAAGAGATCAAAAAGTAAATCGAACCAAATAAGAAGCGCACAGTGACATAATATATGTAAATAATAACTTATCATATTCATATCGGACAGAACAGTCATACGTATAATAATATAATTATTTCGTTATAAAATTGGTACTGGTAATAATAATATAAGATTTTTGCTGGTAAATATATAAATATATATGCAAATTAAACTACTTGAAAGAAATAAGAAAGGATTCTTTGGATTGATTAATTCAAAATGTGTTGTTTCTTCCTACAGATAAACAAACATGATGATAGTTATCAGTGATGTGGGATTGTTTTAGAGTCAATAAGGTGGCTGATTTAAAAAAAAAATAGACAGTAGGTATGTATAATGCGTGTCATCAGGAATTAGACAAAATTAAGACGAAACTTCGTATTTACGGAAGGTAATGACTCTAAATATATAATGCAAAAATATGTATCAATCACTTAAAGAAATTAGACAATAACCGAAACATTAAAACCAGAGGCAGCCCACAATCGAGAAATTATAGGACGAATCTAACAGAAAAATTAAGTACTCTTAAGATCAAAGAAAAAGTTATGGCTACAATTAGTTGAAGTGAATAATGTGTCAAATAGACTTAGCGGGTAAAACTAAGAGTCAATTATTTCACAATGGGGCGGAATGAATCAAAAATTTACATATTAATATCGATTAACGCCAAAATAATTTATATCACTATATCTCATTATATCTCATTATATCATTTATATCGTTAATCATTAATCTAAAATATCATGTCATTAATCCGATCTTTTATCCGACTTTGCTAGGTGTCTGGCAACTTATAGACAGAAGTGCAACGTTTTCGATAGGATCCACGCAATGCAATGTGAGAAGAAATAATATGTAGCCGGTCGATTAATCTTCGGCGACGATTCTTGAGAATTGTTCTCGTTGACCCACACCAGGGGATCCGGCCAAACGTGTCAGTCGTGCCCCTGAGTCTTAGACGAGCAGGGCATGGGGCCAATTAACTCTGACGAACGGGACAACAAGACGCGTTCGTACATTAAGCAGCGTGTCTTAGAGGCTTCTTCTGGAGTGTTCCTTCCTTCCCTCTGATTTTCCACTTACATTCTTATTCTCGTCGACCACGTAATCAGCACGCGATCCGAACGAAACGTATCCTCTGCACGCCCAGTTACCGGGGAACAAATCAACTTCGTTCCGAGGCAGCCATCCAACCAACTTCGCGCATCTACTCCTCTGTTAACCCAGATGGTTCGGCAATCGTTCGTAAACAACGGTAACTTTCCTCCGAGCGTAATTTATCGATGCAACGGAATTGGAAATAGATTTCAAACAGCCGAGCGATACACGAACGATAGTAATGATATTCGGTTTGCAAACAGGAGAAAATAATTTATCGCGCTCTGTTTTTAGACTGCTGGTCGAGGCAGGGATGATGATCGCGCGCGTTAACGCTGATGATATTGCCGATAGTTAACGAACTACGCCTGACTGCATTTCAATCACTTCGATTCTCTAACGAGTTTCTCGAACGTTCGAAGAATGCGCCCTATCGATATCTCCGCGCCAATATCGGGGATCCGACAGTCCAATAGAGATCGATCGACGCCGCGTCCGCTGCGATCGATTTAGTTAATTTATTTGGTTAATAAACGCCAAACGGAACGTCGAAACGAATGCAAAACTCGTATTAATTAAGGCGTTATCGAAAGGCGTTTCACACGGCGGAGGATTGACGATTGAGCAGCATGTACACATCGCGTACATGGCGTGTACATTGCATTGGGATTAAACGGAAAGAAACGCAGGATCGAAGAACGTTCGATCATCACGTGACTTGTGACGCCTGGCAGACGGCAGACAACGATGGCAACGAGAGAACGATTGAATAGCGCGCGCATGCTAACGCGTTACCTTCCCAATGTGTTTCGCGTACGCTACTAAATTGCGCGCTATTAAATTCTTCCTCACCTTGCTACTACTTGTACCACGTTTGAAAACATTTGCATCAAATCAAAGTTCACAGCAGCATAGTTTCGACGCGCACTAGCCGTCCCGAACAACTGCTTGTTTTTTCTTTTTTCTTGCCGCGCCCATTCAAGTTTTCCATTTGCACTTACGCGAAAGGAACAACGTCGTTTACCTTTCGTTTCATCGAACGTAAATACATTTTTATGTAAACGATCGGTCGATCGTACATAGAAATAAAGCGAGTGTCCGGCATTAACAAGCAAAGTATGAACTAAGCATGCTAAGGATGCACAGATTAATTGTTTCTTACGATAGATTAACTGCCCCTCTTTTTCGATTGGTCTCGATTTGTTTTCTGCCGTCAGGCTCTTGTTCGTCAATTTTTATCAATCATTACTAGCTACCAGGTATTTTTCCTTCGATACGATGCCAACAATTTGCTTCATCGATTAACCCCTATCGATCAATGAGTTGACCGTGTTCCGTGATGTAACGACGCGCGACAATTGTCGAAGAGCTCCCCGATCGTCGGAGAAACGGAGAGAGGAGAAAGGAGTCAATCTTAAATATCAGTTGAAATGATACTTGCAAGTCGTTCTACTCTTCGCATTCAGTATTGAAATTTCAATTCGATGTCACACTGGTGACACCGGTCAGATGAAAAACCTCTGACTTCTGCTTCTCCTCTTCGTCTCTCCCCGCTCTGTCGCGCGATTATTGTAAATCACGTCAAAGTTTTTCTTTTTATAATATTTCGTAACTGTTTGCCCGTAAGATAATGGTGATTTCGATCAATCGTTTCTATCCGCTTTTGTATTTGCTAACACACTACATACTATGTAAACATTACGAGCACATCTCGCACTATGATGAATCGCAGATGCTTTATACATTATGCATTTACATGTTAGAAAACAACTCACGCCTAAATATTACGACGTTTTGATATGGCGTAGGAAAATCTACATCGAGCGTAGTTAGGTATTTCAAAAAGGAGTTGTGCATGCCAATGTCCAAGTTCAAGATTGCAACGCAGTAAGTTGCAAATGCGGCGGCTTTGGTCGCGAAATATCGTCGGGAATTTTTTTCACATTTACTCGCACACTCGCAGTTTCTAGACTTAATTACTCTGAATAATCTGAAGATACATTCAAACTGCAGACTCTTCTGTAAGACCTCCGTTGTCTTTCGCCATTTCAACGTTTCTTGTTCCGTTAAGTTGAGCCAGCGTTATCTATAAAGAGTATTTAATTGCTCTATTATAATTTATCAGAGTAATTTGCAATACAAAAAAAAATACTGCTCGAAAAACAATAAAAATAACAACAGTGACTCAAACAAAACCGGTTGCCCTGTACACCATTTTTTTTTTCCAACATTGTCATAATTTACATACACGTATGATACAATGTGTAAAACGTTCGACCACCACGTTTCCTTGAACCAGAAGGTACAATTCGAATTACAGCTTCTTTTCAGAAGTACGAAAGAAGAGCAAGTTGAAAAGGAAGAAGGCAGGAGGAGATAAGAGATGAGACGCGTACTTGCACGCGTGTACGCATGGACAGGATCGAGGGCGACTGTATACGGTGGCGACCGAACGAGGTCGAACGACTGGAACCTTCCGTGAAAAGTCCAGAGGATATTGGCGTCGTAGTTCGATCATTGGAGAAACCCGACGTTCCGATTTCATTTCTCGCTATTCAATTATTCTTCGTTCCTGCTATGAGAACTAAACTACATACGCACGTACGAATGAACATTTGCGAAATGATCTTCAATTGTAACCTCTGTCTCCGTTAAAACGACTTGATTCTTCGAGCGCGAGAGATTAAAAGAGGAAAATGAAAGGACTTCGGCGAGCTGACTTTTGGAAAATATGTCAGACACGTTGCAGATGGTGTGCATGTAACTGTAAGGAAGATATGTTGCACATTTGGGGTTCGTCATCAAATTCGTACGAGAAATTGCAGGACAACGCGTGGCAGCGCGACTATACTCCAAGTTGACGCGGCTGGACAGAAAAAGAGAGGACGAAGCCGGTCGAAACGAGGCGATGCGATTCGCGGTGAGATGTGGTGAAGCGAGACAAGGCGAGAGAAGCGGTGGGCTGCCTGCCGCCCGGCGAGGTACGTACGGCGAGGTGAGGTGAAGTGGAGTGACGGGGGTGTAGAACGGCGAGGTGAGGTGAGGCGAGGAGGGTGCAGCAGAGGGGAACGAGGGGAAATGTCGGGTCAGCGTATCCCCCACCAGCGGCGTGCGCCCCAATAGAGGAGGCGGCGCTTACGACCACACCGGCTTCTATATAAAAGAGACAAACCCCCCGATCTGATTAGCAAAGTTCCAAACACACGTAAAAGTGCATTTTACTCATATTTTACGCCATCTAAATATTACGTGTAACACCACGAACGAAATACACAATAAGAATCTCGAAAACTACGCTCTTCGTAGTATCAATAATATTGAGTATCAAGTGAACGGGCTTGGTAACCGAAAGACAATACTCGAAATCGATAACTGGCGACAAACGAAGAGTTTCCTTAAGGTCGATCGATACGCCCGATCGTTGCGGGCAAATCAAATGAGAGCAGATTCTGTCGAGATCGATATTGCTTAAATTCGCAAACGTAAGGAACGACTGGGAGACAGATGTGCGCGCTGCAGGTGCGGCAGATGTAGCAGGAATAGCGCAAACCAGGAACGTGTAGAAAGTATACAGGCGGATAAAACACAGTGGACGACACAAGACGGCACGGCACGGCATAGCACTGTGTACGAGCAGAAGCAGCAGTACACCAAAGAGGAGGGTAGCTGTGGTGTCGCTGGTACCGCTTAGCAGTGGTGGTGGGTTCGGGCTCGAACTCGAGAGCTCGAGCTAGCTAAGAAATACGTTGAATCGTCCACGCGGCATCATTTAGACTTTAGCCATTTGCCGCGCAGTCTCGCAAGGGTGGTTGTGTACGCACGACGAGAAAAGATAGAAGAAGAAGGAGGAGAAGGAGAAAACGACAACGACAGCTCCGACACGCGCGTTCAATTTATTTGGAAGATAAAGATCACTATTATCCGAATCTGTACTTGCATCAAGGCCGTGTCAAAGGAAGCGGCACTCTAATCAAATTTCTATATCATAAAATTCGTGGCACGTACCACCGGTGGCGCACTGCAAACGCGATTGCAAGTAAATCAATCGCGGAAACGCGTGAAACGAGGAAACGCATAACGTTCGCGCGACGAAGGAAAGAAATCTCGTATCAAGCCGACACGAGAGAAAGGTAGCAAAGGACGGAGAGGGAGAGAGAGAAGAAAGTCAATAGGAAGTTTCAAGAGTCTCTCCGATCGCGGGTTGAAACGCGAGGGATTCACGTGACGCGAGGCCAGTCTGACCCAGCGACAACGCGCAGCGCTTAACCACGACACGACTATTTCGAGGATCGCCGGCAAAATGTCCAATTCCCAGAGGAGACAGATGATGCAGCCATGGCCTCTATGCCTAATGCCTTTTACAAGAACGAAGGTAAGATATGTACGCAACGTTATCTCTCACGTAACGTGTATTCGGCCGCTCGCAATCGACGAACCGACCGTTCTCCGCCGGCTCGTTTTCGTTTAACCATGTCACCAGTTCGTGTTCCCTCGTTCTTTTTCGGTACCTTCTTTCTCTCTTCCTCCCATATCCGTTTCCACGATTCCGCACTCTCACCGCCTTGCTCTTTCTTCCCCTCCCGAGCTTCTGGAAAGTTCCACGGTACACGCTGTCGCCGACGCCGTCGCCGTCAACGTTCCTAGACCCGGTGTTGTACTTTGTGACCGGCGCCTCGGCCGTCACCGCAGTCGTTGCTCTTTGCAATTTATTTTTCATCATAATTGCCACCCCATTCACTGTTTCTGTGTATATCGTGATCTTGATCTTATCTTATACCCTTTCTCTTTTTCTTTCACTTTCAGTTATCATTTCTTTACATTTCTGCATCTTTCGCTACACTGACCATTACCTATCAACGACAATATCGAATCGAATTTTTTCTTTTTTTTGCAACTTTACCTTCTCTTACACCTTTACCTTTTATTATTTACCGACTGTTATCCGCGTAGTCTATTTTAATTTCTTCTCACCGTTTTTCTTTGCTTTTCGTCTCACTTGGGACACGTGTGGAATCCTACAACTCCCTTTTCTTTTTTTCTTTTTGTTTCCTTGAAGATTGCATACGTGTCGAACATCGAGTTTCCACTTTACCTCTCTCTCTCTCCCTCGCTTTGGTGCCTGCTCTCGCTCTTCTGTCTTTCTCTTTCACCTTTCTCGGCTGTCCCCTCCTCTTTCGGGAACTCTGCTCTCTGGAATTTTACTGTTCATCACCACCACTCTGCCTCATCGCTTCTCTATTCATTCGGTGTGCATCCCTTCGTTCATGAATTTTCCGAAATTTCTTCGTTCTATGTTTAAGAAGGACGGTCGCATGCATCGATGTCGGCGGAGATTATCACCGGGTGTGTGCGTCGTATATATCGGATGTTACACGCAAAGCGAACAAACATATTCGAATATTCGCGTTCGCGCGCGTATATAGTACGTTGTGTTCTCCTGATATGCGTCTGCTGTTGGTATCTCGTACGAAGTTTTCGAATCACGGTAGCGCGAGCTTGGTACGCGAACGCCACCACGTCCAAAAATATCGATCGCCGGGTTAAAACCGCGCGCGCGTCTGTATTATTACGGTTCTAGTCGAGAGGTGAACCCGCGGCAATACAGAAAAGTAAAATCGACTTCGGTAAACGACAAAGCGAAAAGAACCATAAGTTTCATTTCTCTGTTTTCATCGCTAATTCATCGCATACTAATGAAACGTGTTAGTCAATTTCAGTCGCTAACGAATCGTAACGCGCGTGTATTGTTGCCAGGCGAAACGGGTGTTTGCGCCTGTTTCGTTGAATAAAACGAGACTGCGTGACAGCGAGATGGACCTTTAGCCATAATGTCACCGTTGCAACCATGTTCGTGTTTGTACGCATACAGCGTAACTGTTGAAACGCGAAATGACATATAATTTCGAAGTTTGAATTTTAGGACTTGTCGTCCACCAGAATCGTCGATCGGCGTGTGCCGATCAAAAGATGACACATTTTGTAACACAAGAAAAGAAATTTTTCAATAAATGGTATTTTTCAATCGTTAACATTAGTTTGTAAGTGTTTCCGGACCTGCTTCTTCCATACCATTCACATCTCGAACGTTTTATAATCGTCGAACATGCAATGTTATTCATCGTTCTCTTTTTTTTTTTTTCCCTCGTTAACACGAAGTTTCTCTCTTTTTCACTCTTTTTTTTTTTTTTTTTTTTTTTAGCGTTTCCTTTACAGTGCATTCATTTCTCAAATTTTATTTTTTTTTTTTTTTTTGATGTGCACTCGTCATATTTTATGTTTCGTCATGCGTAATATTTTATTTCGCAAATATTTCCGCGAGAGATTCCCGTTTAAGAATTTTCGGGACGTGTCACCCGATCCCACGTATACGCGATAAACGCCGCACGTAAATGAAACCGATTGTTTTGGAAATGAAATGCGCATACGTACTTACGTATGTACAAATACGCATGCACGCACGTACGCGGCCGAGCCCGCGTGGATCTTCCTTTTTCTTACCGATCGTGAAGAGCGCTCGTTATTATTATGCGCGTCGTTCATCGTTCGGAAAAAAAAAAAAAAATGGATCTTTTTCACTTGTCGTACACTCGTCACCATGTTTTCCATCAAAGGCCACCACTTGCATACATACATGACCTACGTTCGTCGGCACGCGTTCTATCCAAAAAGCATTTCATTTTTCAATAGCACGCTATTTGTCGAACGAAAGCAGCAGTATTGGCCATTTGGCACGAGGCGCTTTCATTTCCCAATGCCAGGAGTATAACGCGATTGTAATCGAGGAATAAAGCATCCCAGGAGAGAAGGCGCATATTCGATTAGAAGCGTGCTTGCTGTCGAAAAATTGTTCACGTTTGAACAGCGCGCGATTATGCATACGACGATCATTACGGAAGGAAAAGCGGCTGGCGTTTCGAAAATGGTGTAGCATGGATTACGGTGGTTGTTGTTGTATCGCGTTTCGATCACGACGATGCACTGTCGCGAGTCGGCGTGAAAAACGGGGGAGAAATACGGGGAAAATAGGTAAGATGTCACATGAAACACGTTGATAACATTGGAAAGGTGTCATATATCCTAGGAACTGACAGGCTAGATACCAAAGATTACCAATTATTATCTAGAACTCCCCGCTATATCGCTTTTCGTAGCATAATATATTTCGGCCAGCAAGATGTGGATATTGCAGTCGACTTATCTCTACGTTAATTGTCACGGACGCAGCGCTAAAATGCTTCCTCAGCCACGAGTGTCTACGCTGGTACGTCACACTATTGCTCTAAGTCAACCGCAGCTTCCTTTCTCGAAATACATATACATACATAGAAGAAAAAAAAAAAAAAAAAAAAACGTGTGCGTAGCTTCTCCTGTTGATTTCCTTGCGAAGATTCTTTGAAACGTCATGCAAGATTCGTCGTGTCGAGAGGATCCAGCCGATCGATCGGTAGATAGACCACGATCGAGTCGCAATGCGCGAAATTAGCGAAAGCACAGAGTATATACCAAAAGATAGACATAGTCCGACAATCTTTCTCTCCTCCTTTCCTTCTTTGCTTACGCTCTTTTACATAAATTTACAGTGCAAAAGTAATTCTTGATACTCTTGACTATCGTTTCTTTTCGTTTCTTTTCTTTTTTTTTCTTTTTTCCTCATTTCTCTCTCTCTCTCTCTCTCTCTCTCTCTCTCTCTCTCTTCTCTTTCCGTTTGCTGTGGAAAAGTACACTGCAATTTGTCTGCATTCTACGACTTTCGCCTAGTTCAATTCGAAAAAGATTTGTCCATTTCTTTTTTCCATTTGTCCCGCATTCTATGACTTTCGCCGAATTCGGCGGTTCAAATCGAGAAGAATTTTTCCATTTTTCTCTCCCTTCTCTATCCGTTTACTGTGAGAAAACACACGCAATTTGTCCCGCATTCTATGACTTTCGCCGAATTCGGTGATTCAAATCGAGAAGAATTTTTCCATTTTTCTCTCCCTTCTCTATCCGTTTACTATGAGAAAACACACGCAATTTGTCCCGCATTCTATGACTTTCGTCGAATTCGGTGGTTCAATTCGAGAAAGATTCAACTGGAACTATCAAAGTAACCAAAATGACCAATTTATAATTTTTGCCAGATACTTTATAGAAGCGTATTTTTTAAAGGTTTAAATAATTTTTCGTCAAATGTACAAATACAAAAGCTCGTACAGTCCATTATTGTTACAAAGTTTTTCTCTAAAGTTTTCTCTTTTTTTGACTTCGATGTTCTCTGATAAAAAATATTATGCTGCAATTGTCGGTAGTTCCAAGTATTAACAGTGTTTCCCTCCGAATGTCGCCGAAGCGAGTCTCCGCGTTAAAAAGAATTCTGCAGTGGTTCTAACACGTCGATCTCCGCACCTTGAAACGTAATACAAATCTTATCTCTGTCAGGCGTCTCTATCGTGAGACTAGACTAAAGCCCATTATCGACGAGAGAAATTGATCCGCTTTTATTGATCCGCAATAAAAGAGTTTTTCTTTTTCTTTCTGTTTCGAGAAATCCCTTTTTTTTTCCACGGGCGCCTCGATGACATTCACGCCTCGACTCCATGAACTTGAACGTTCTAGCATGTACTCTGTGGGATTTAATATCGACGCGGCGATATGGAAACAGATAGACATTGTATAACACAGCGTCAGTCACTAGGCGATGCGCCGGTTAAGTGCAGTTGCTTTTTTGCTTCTGACGTGACGCATACGCCAGATGCAGATTCAGATTCACGCGATGTTTGCGCATATCGTTCGAAACGACCACGCAAACGTCAACAGTTCAACATCAATTCACGGTCGAGTCAAGATCACTGGGATTAGACTGATGCGCGCATTCACGCGTGTTCCACGTATCGATGAAACCTTCTCCTACGTTTCCGACAATAGAAAGTCATCGGAGAAACGCGTGACAAATTCATTTCTGACCTTCGCGAGCATTACACTATGCGACATGCAACGCTACACGATATTGCGAGTATTTTCATATTTTCTTTGACGATCCGGATTTCCCCTTGTTTTGTTTGTTCGTTTGGTAAATACGAGAGATGACATCGTCACATCGTGTTACAGACGATACGGTTTTTTAACCGAGTCCGGTAATTGGTAACAACTGGAAGCAGCGTTCGCACAATTTCCCGTATCTCTTCGCTCGAAAATTCGACTCCCACGCATATATGCTCGTTTCTCTTCGGCTATTTATAGTCTGGCAAAATGTGAAAAATATAGATTTCTACGTAAACTCATATTTTTGAGAATGTTATTAATAGAAGTTCGGTAGGAAACTGCTTTACGGTACCAAACACCATAGAAGACACAGTGTTTTAAATATTTTATGCATTTCTTCGTATTCCGTGCATTTTAAAATTTCCTACAGTCCATAATTTATAAAATTATTAAAAAAAAAAAAAAAAATTCGTAAAGAAAAGAAAGAATAAACGGAGGAATGCGGAAATGTGCGAACACTGCTGAATTAGCTGTTAACTCGCGAAATGCCGGAGACATAAAGTGATTTAATTTCGATTCGATTGTATTTCAAGCACGTGTTTTACTTCCATTTTTTTATTCGCCGAAATCGTTATATCTTTGCAATGTGCATACATACGAAGATGTTCTGAAGCCTCTCTGTACATTTTTCTCTCTTGTTTTATATTGTCTTTATTGTTCTCGTTTTCTATACTCCTATTCTAAGTAAGGCAAACACGTTTCGTCGTTAATTCCGTCTTCTTTTTTCCTTTTTTTTTCTATTTATCGGTCCGATCGGCGAGGGGCAAAGACGAACAATGAAAAGCCGCGTCTCTCCTCGGCAATGTTCGGAAGAAACGAAAATAGTATCATCGTGCGATTTGAACTATGCAAATGGAACGATAAAAGTACATGCTGGTTGCACGAACACACGTTCTGAAAACAGGATAGCAAATATAATTTCGAATGTACTTAATGGAAGCTTACGTAATTTCGTTAGAGCGGCATGTTTGAAGTTCATGATGCAACGTTTTTCCTTTCCCCCCTTTTTTTTTTTCTGAAAATTAGAATCCGTCGCATTTCATTTGCATTTATGCTCGTTATTTCGCAAAACCACGCGTGTTTCGATACATATTTATGTACACTATCGTTCAGAAGTATGTCGACGTTTATTATACTCATGGAATCTGCGATATCCGTATAACATACATTTGCTATTTGTACATGTTTTGAATTCTGTACATGTTTTACGAATATTCTAGTAATATTGACTAAGTAATTTAATTACTCAGAATGCTTAGAAAAATAAACATCTATCCGGCGTGTTTAACATTGCTGAAAAATCCAATGAAAATATCGTGCCAGACAATTGTCATTTTTCATTAACAATCTGAGTTCTATTAAAAAGAAGTGTTTTAAGACTTAAGTGCGGTTATGCGTGAACAAGAGGATACGTTTACTTTTTATTCTCATTGACGATGTTCTCCAATACAGTACAAACCAGAGTACGCAAAAATTGATCCCAATTTGTCAAAGATTCCATTTTGTTTCTCCAAGCAGACGTGAGAATTGAGAAAGTATCTTTCAGCGGCAATGTGCATCGATCAGGTAGAATTATAATCGTTTAACACGAGAGAGAAACAACGCTGGCGGCGATCGTTTATGATAATCGAACCTTCGAGAAGGGACAGAACCGCGCTCGAAGGTTTTCCTGAAGCGCCGAACGAAAAAAATGCGAAGATCGAACGAACGTTACTCGGGAGGTAAAACCGGGGCGTCGATACGTCACAGAATCGCACCGCTTTTATGGCTCGAAGTATGTTTCTCCTCTGTTGGTCACTGGCGCTCGACGCCCGCCACGACAGATAGCGCCACGAGAATCCGACTTGTCTGCTTCGATTCGCGCGCGATTCAAAAGTTTCTTTTCTTTTTTTCTTTCTTTTTTTTTTTTTTTCCCAAGTCGCTAACGCTCACGCGAAGCACGTGTGTCACGATCATACGGTGGTCAGAGATCATCCGCGGTTCGGTATGCATCATACGGAACTGTATCCACTGAAAACACGCGTTCATTGTTTTCTTATATTTAGCAACGTCGTATCCGTATATCGAGAACGATCAGCTATCGGGTCCAAAGGAGAAGCGATAGCGCGAGGGCAAACAACGAAATCGTCGTTTCCTCAAATGCAAATAACGAAATTGATGACGAACTAACTCGACTACTAGTTCGGTGTTTCTTAATCTTTCGGTTATCGCGGGTACCCTTTGAGCAATTTCTTGTTCCAGTTCCTCTCAAACGATGTATAAGCGAATAACATATCGTCTTGTTTATAGCTGGATGTTGTTTCGAAGTAACCATCGGTTGAAATAGTTCAAATTGTTATTTTTTTTACTTTATACTGGACGAAATATGGCCAGGTCCCTTCCACCCGGTCGTTGACATACAGGAACGAGAAGTTCGCGGCTCTCTTGGTTAAGAAACACTGGATCAGCTGATTATTTTGCGTATGGCAACAATGGTATCGAACGGCGGGAAGACCCTCGAACGTGATGAGTTCGATTTGACAAGAGGGGGATCGGAGAGAAAAAAATAAACTTCCGACGATTCCAGGAATCAGACTAGCGAGGAAATTTAATTTAATTTATTTAATGAGCGCGAGGTCTCTCTTAGATAGCACGTAGCAAACAAAATAGAACACAAATGGAACATGTCAGATATAACACGGAACGATGTTACTGACGTAATGTTACAATGAAATGTTCATTTAACTTGCACAGGGAAAATGTATTAAAATGTGCGAATTAGGAAGCGATCGATAAATATTAATCCTTCAGGGCCTGATGTTAATGCTTTAGATTTTTTGATAATATGGACGGGAAATGGTCTTTTGTTGACTTTCATTGTATATAATTACGAAATTTAATATTAAAATTTCGTTTTTAGTAGAGGTTGAACAAGAATCAGTATGGTGCAAATACGTCGTTCTTGGATTATGAATGGAATTGCTATTGAAGAATTTTCTTCGGTAACACTCGACATTAAGAAATTCATAGATCACACATATATCTACATCTCTCTTGACTTGGGATTTAAAGATGTGATCTTATAGCGAAATTGAAAAAAAAAAAAAAAAAAATGAGTGAAATTGAAGAGACACGAAGAGTATAAAAATACGATAGAACTCTTTTATTTGAATATGTATATATATATTTATATATTTTATTTACTTGGGGCAAATTTTAAATTGGTTGGTTCAATTCACTTATTTTTACTTGAACTCCTATTTACAAAAAATCATCAACAGAAGGGGCAATCAGTGGATCTCTTAATAGACACATTTGTCCCCCGAAAAGTTCATATAGACAAAGTTCTACAGCAACAAAGAATAACAAAGGATGCGAAACAAAAGTCGAAGAGAGATGAGTATAGAAAATTGCAAAGTATCCAATACGGATGTGAAAAAAAGAAAAACCGAGTGCCAATAATCGCATAAAAACAATCGATATTACTGATAAAATGCGAAAGCGATTATTTGCATGTTTAGGTCGATCCGGAAGACAATGTACAGCGTCATACATTTATTCTGAATTTTCAACGTGTATCGGTAACAAGTGACAGTAATGACGCGATCACAGTTTCTCCGCATCCGGTCGGATCGTCGGTCTTCATTTTCGAGAAATTTTCGAGGAAACGGCGGACTCTGTGAATCGATGGAAATACGAAGCGAAGATAATAAATCGGATCGGCGTAATGCGCGAAGATGCACGCTCGCAGCCACGAGCATAATATTCGCGAAAGCAAAGAGCTCGCGGTTTGGTCATGAAGTTCAACATAGGTTATCGATAATCAGGGTCATCAGAAGTCATCTAATCGTCCAGCAAGACGATCACGCTGGTCTCTCGTTCGTCGCTTTTCGTCATTGGTTCGTTACGATAATCGCCACGCACCTCCTCCTCGCCACGTTCCCCGATAAACAAATCTAGTATAAATACACCAACTTGGTAATTTCATCCCTTCGATTTACTCGACACTGGATTTCGCGCGGTAGTAGCCTGTTCATCGTCGGCATTTTTATTAATTGGTTCTGCCGCGCCGCTCGTTTGAATCGAAGAGAATTTTCCACCGGAAAACATTGTTCGTAATATTCACCGCGGGAAGTTGTTTGTAAAATTTTCCACGAAAAGTGTACACGGTGTATACACGTTTCTAACCAGCAGAAAGAAGAAGGAAGGATCGATCGATCGGTCGAGCAAGACGAGTAAGTTTGATTTTCGTTGGATCGACGGAGTAGACGTTTAATTCGGGTTTGTTAATTGAGTCGAATTGCCCCATTACGGTGATGATCATCTTCGTGTTATCTTTCCTTGCGCTATCGAGCGGGAAATCATATCGCAGAACGGATCACGGTGCGCAGAATTGAACCCTAAGTGGTGTATCGTTGAACACTGGCAACCATAAAAATTCAGATTTCACGTTGATTAATTTTAGAATTTTCAATTCCAGTTAATCTTACCGCTAATCTCTGTCAGAGAGAATAGAAAATCCAAAATAAATACTTGAAATTTTTGTATCAGACGTAGAAATTAATTCGGCGCCTTTTTTTTTTTTTAGATAAACTTGTCTCGGGATTTTGCTTTTGGAATCATTCTAACGAGAAATTGTTTTTCGGAATCATTCCTTGTTATTATAGAACAAGCTTCTCTTAACGTTTAAGTGACGCTTTTATTTAACAATTCTTCGAATTGATAATTTTCAAAAGAGATCACGATGTTCCTGGTCGGAAGTGTTTTTTAAAATCAGACAGACATACTCTTCGTGTTTCAGAAATATGACGACTTTTTGCATATTGTTTTTTTTTTTTACATCTAACAACACAATAGTACAAATTACTTTAGTTATCTGCGATGCCAACGATACCAGTTGAGGGTTCAATGAAACGAAAGGGAAGGAAAGAGAAGAGAAGAGGGGAAACGAAGCAAATTGACAATGGTGTATTTGTCTGTTTTCAGGAACGAAGCGTTCTGCCCAAATATTACACGAGGGTGCCTACGGTAGCAAGATCGGTGACGAACAGTTCGGGCATCAACCTAGATTGTTCGTCGAACACGACGCTTGCGACGAACGCGAGCCCGTTCAACAGCCAGACGGCACTGATCGCGGAGAAAACCGTGGTCGTCTCTTCCAACAACAGCGTGACCACGCCGAGCAACCATTACTATGCACAGAACTTGAGAAACAATCACCAGAAGGCCCTGAACGGGTCTCGCATATACGATCCTCTCGACAGGGGTCTCGACCACGACTACAAACAACTCGATCCGCTGTTGGTCGGTGAACCCCCGTACACGGGGGTCGAGATCACCAAGCCAAGCATGAGCTCGCAAAATGTTAAACCGACCAAGGACTCGGTACCTGTTCTGCACACGCAGTTCGAGAAGGAGCCCAAACTGTCGATTATGCGTTTTGCCAATCAGGTAACTCATCGTTCGTTTCTATCGAGCCGCGTTCACATTGATTTCTTGCCAATCTGATTTCTGATTTTCCATCACTTTCGCTCGTTTCTAACTGCAACTGAGACTAATGCAAACGTAGATGTATCCTTTTTTTGTCGATTATCAAATGTATTATACGTGTATGTTGGATTGTTCTGCAAACTGTGGACAACGGATACGCGTAAAGATGAGTCGAGAAGAAAGAACAAAATTTGTCCATCCGAAAAATTAAGTTTGAAAATCGTTTTCGAGGAAATCTGAATATATTCCATCCGCGAAAATAAATGAAGATAAATTAAAATAAAATAGAACAATTCTTATAATTGAGAATTGTGAAAATTTAATAACAATTATATTTATTATTGTATAATCAATATTTCATCCTATCGCGAGAGAGTTTTATTCTTTCTTTTCGATTCGTTTCCGCATTTCGTAGAATCGTCATCCCTCGGCCGATTCTTGTCCACGATTTGCGGGACATCCTGTACACGTAACCCGTGAATACACATCATGTATCATACGCCGGTGAACACATTTGGAAAATTACCGCGAGCAACGTATCTCGAAATCATACAGTTTCGCACGATTCTCTTACTAAATTTGTTTTCCCGTGATCCTGCCGCATGGCTTTCGACACGGCGCGACGGCGGCATTACGTATCGCGAGAAAACGGCGGAGACCTCGTTCGTTTCTACTCGCGTACGAGTTTCAAGGATACCGCGAGAGGAAGCATCCTTGATCCATTTTTCTTCCGACTCGCCTCGAGACTCATAGAATCGTCGAACTTGAATACAAGCGAATACAACCGAATGCCATGAAACCTGGGACAGAGCGGCGGATGGCTTGTTATACCCAATGGTATTATATTCAGTTCGGAGCAGGAAGCGGTCATCGCCTGTTTCTATAAACAGTTGAAGCATGTCGCGATACATGCGATCGACGGTTTCGCGATACATTTATAATGTATCTATGTGTTAGAAATTCATTCGTGGCCCCCCACCGCTGTTGATCGACTGCAACTTTATTTTTGAGGTTCTATATAATACACGATACAGATAGTTATATAGACTGTGACAGATTTTCGAAATGCGTTTTGCATCACTGTCTCTCTTAATATAAAGTTCGAACACGCGAGACTGCATGATTGCGCGCTATTTTTAAAGATTTCTTTAATCTTTATCGAGTGACAATTTTACAATTAGCACGATATCAGTCAGGTCTCTTCCGTCTCTGCAACATCATTGTTTTCTATCGAAGAATATCTTCGATATTCAAGTTGTAAACCGGACAAAGGTAATGAAATATATAAACCATAAACTCGGTGTCAACGTTGTAATAATCATTTTGCTCAGAACGGTACAAATGTCCGGTGAGCTTATAGAATCTGAAGGTGTCGTCGCATGTTTCAACGAGGAGTCGGAGAATCGCGGAACAACGTGAGCGAGAAGAGAAACAGACTCTGATCGAGACTAAAAAACTGAGAAACGTTTCGCGATTCCAAAGGAATTTTAGTAATTGCGGAGGATCCTGAAAGCTTCTCGTCCCTCGACGCTTTTCTTTCTCGCGCGTGTCGAATGCCACGCGTGCCTGCCTTCTCTGCCCTGTCGTTCGAGGGCATCGCGATCTTCGTGTGTTTACGACATCAATGTTGCGTATACGTATATTAATATATATATATATATATCCAGAATTGCATTTGTTGCGCAAATAACACGGGACAAATGTTGTTCATTGCACGATATTATGGACAAAAAAACGAATGTCAATTCGAAAAGATGGATGATACCCAATATTCGAAAAGCTTTATGCACTTCATCATCAATATGTACACGTACGTTCGTCAGTTTATGATGTCAGAGTGTTAAGCGTAATGTACAGAACTTGCAATCAAATTAATGTTTACGAGATTTTATTTTAATCACACACCACTCTCTCTCTCTCTCTCTCATGGCACGTGTCCGACTCGAGGCAAGCTACATACACGAGTGACCTAAAGTTAGAAAAAAAGGCGAACAAGGCGACACGAGACGAGACGAGTTCGACAGAAGAAAGTGTACATAGATATACGCGAATGATCGGGGGAGGAATGCAGAAGCAGCCGGAACAGGTGCAAAAGAGGAAGGAATTGCTCATCGATCTCGCGTTTGTTTCGTGATCTCCAGATCGAAGGAAGCAACTGCGGAGAACAAAAGGCAAATGCATGCATCGCATGCATGCATGTACGTTTGTGCCCAACTACAGCGGCCTTGCACGCCTCTGATAATAACTAACGACTTAATTTCCTTCCACGTACATTGCTGACGTATACCGGAGACGTTTGCGGATCATATTAAACAATTAATAGTGCAAAATGACGGAAACGTGGATACGGAACGTATGTCTGTGGTCGAAAACACACACACACACACAGGCAGCTCATCGACAGTTCGGATCGCCCTTAAATTACGTATATTTCGCAATCCGGCGCGTCACCAAGACCAACGATTGTTGGCAACGAATTGGTTTCGATGCGAACGAATATGCTGTTGAACGGACACGCGGATAAGGACGAAGACGAGGAACGCGATACTCGAGTTGCTGTTCGATTCTCGTCTTGTTTCAAATTTCGCGGAAGGAAAACTGGTGAAAATGTTCACCTCCGGCTGCCTTTGTAATTCTCGTTCGATCGACCTCGTATAATCTGTCTATTGTACCAATTGTATAGAAAACGGGACTCTGTCACGTTCAACCGAGATCGTCTGTCTGCCGCGTGCCATTCATCCATGGAGAACAAAACGGAGACGAAACGAAAGGAAATACGCGGGAAGGAAAAACAAAAAAAAAGAAAAAAGAACAAACGCGTTCTGCTCCGACAAAGAAGATTACGCAACGCTGAAAGAAGGTCACGAGTAGCAAGATCGGTCGCAATAACGACGCGGTTTCGTCTCGAGATCCCAAGGCACGGCTCGGTTGTTTAAATAGGCACTTTTTTCCGATCGTGATCAATCCGTTTCGAACCGTACCGAGCAGAGAACTCGTAGACGAGCCGCTCGTTTCAGAGCTTTAGTTCCTTCAGGGGAGGAACTCGTGACCGAATTTCAGTTCCTCGCGGTCGATCGATACGCGGTCTTCTTCAGTCTTTCGTTTCTTTTCTCTGTTCGACGATCTCTCGAAATTAGTTCCACGTGCCCGGGCTATCGAGTACAAAGCACGAAGGAATGGCACGAGTTGCGCTCACGCGTAGAACCCCGCGAACTACGCGAAAGCCGCGCGCATACATACGATCGTGCGTATAATCGTCCGATTCGCGGACGATGGATCCTCGCAATGACAAGGGAAGGGATAGCCGCGGCCCCCCAGCATCGTTTCCCTATATAAACAGGGAACTACCCGTCGGTCCACGAGTGCCAATAGCGTGTCAATATTACACGGGAACAACGTTAACGTCAACGACGGCAGCTTCGACCGCGTATATGTTAACCACGATACCGATACTGTCAACCTTCGCAATAAAATATAAATATCAGTTGCAACAACTATTGTAACACTACAACACTCGCAGCAAGAAAAGGAGAGAAGAAGGAACAATAATAACGACGAGAAAAATAGGAAGGAAGACGGTACTTCGTGCGAGAACAACACGGAAGCAACAATCGTGACGACGATTGTCTCGCAACACGAAAGCTCGCCACTCTGACTTAGCAGACGATACGGCGTAACAATAAAATTAAATCGATACGTCGATCAACACGTGCGTGTGGTTGAACAGTTCGTTCACGAGCAGACGTAACTAACGCTTAGGCGAAAATCATTCGACGATCGTAGGATCGTTTCTTTCGGCCGTAGCCGTGGCGCGCTACGCATCGGTGACGATCGCTCTCTCGCAGGACATTTCCGCAAGATTTTCCGCCCGATCAGGTCGCGTGTTATCTTCCATCGGTTTCTCACCCTGCCACTACTACATCGTCTTCAATCATGAAGATTCTTATGCGAGCCGATACCCACGTGAACATCGAATTACCGGGCAACGCGCCAGTCGCTAAATGCACCTTCACTCAGGTATCGACAATTGGCATTGTGAACTTATATAGAACGTAGATAAAAATGTATGCACCCGATTTTGTCTACGATATCAGCTACAGCTGAGCGTTCGTTTTCATTTCCCCTTCGACGTCTCTCGCTTGTTCGTTCGTCGTTTATTTCTCGCGCGCGTCCAACCAACGTTGGTCGACCTTCCGTATCGAATTTTACCGGATTTCACCGGATCATCGCGAAACATTGTAGCTGTTTACTATGTAGAGTGGCTGATCTCTCAGCTCGAGTGGTATCACGAGTACTCCTCCAAGTGGTTCTGCCACTTGGCCACCAAGAACAAACCGCGAACGATCACGGTCTTTGCAACGTGATTTCTCTCGATCGCGTGTCAACCTGCGTTTTCTTTCGAATGTTTACAGGTGTTGGCCGCCCTGTCGGTGTCGATGGGCTCCATGGTGGTCGGTTACTCGAGCTCGTACACCTCGCCGGGTTTGGTCTCGATGCAGAAGAATTCGACGTTTGAAGTGACGAAGGAAATCGTAAGTAGATGAACACTGTGTTACACGCGAAGAAGGTATTCGAAGGCGAATACCAAGTGTCGGCTCCGTCGACGAAATTGTTTTCAAACAAACGTGCCTCGCGCGAAGATGGCGCAATCGCGAGTATTCCGGCGAAATACGAGAAACACGATGTTATCTGCCGAATTCCCATCTTATCCGAACACCGAGCCAAGGTCGGACGATCGGTATTACGGCACGTTTGTTTTCGAATATATATTCCGATTGTTACGTCGTGAAATGATTGCGCGAACCAGCCGACAATTTCCTGCAAACTTTCCTTCCCGTTTTTACAAACTGGCCTAGTTTCGGGCGACTCGAAAGGAGGACGGCCATCCTGAAACGATGACGACGTCGTGGAGGGAACGGGGCACACGTCGTCGAGTCGTCAGATATCGAGAAAGGGTCAATAAATGATTGAGCGTTTAACCCGCCGAGTGCGTCAATGCGAGTGTAAAATCATACGACCCCGTGTCGCGTTCGTTCAACAACCATCATCATCATCATCGGCGCGCCTTGTCCAGCCTCGATTGGCGGGGCACGCGATTGGCTCGCCGTTGATCGATGCCGGCACGCCGTTAACTTGGCCTACGTACGCTCACGTCGTTACGCCACGCGACTTTTGCCGCGATTTACCGCAACCTTCGACGAATCGACGATGCGCCTCGGAGATTTAATCGCTAACTCGATACAAATGCTTCCGGGTTCCTCAATGTCCACTCTGTTTCCACGCACCTCTCGCCGATCTCGCCGTACACAGATCGAGGCCCACGCGGAGCGCATTAATGCTCCTTAAGCATTTCCCCTTGTTCCTTCCTTCCTCCTTACTCTCCTCCTTGCGTATCTCCTTCGCTCTTATTTGTATTATCCAAGGTTGATGAGCGATCTTTAATTCTTTGGAGCACGATGGTACGAAAAATGTTCCACGTACCTCGAGAATATTTGGCCCAAAATTGCAATATCTTCTCAGTTTTAAGTATATTGAGATACACTTAAAATCATACACTTATATATATATATATATATATATATATATATATATTTGAAATTATATTAAAATAAATTTATTACTCCTTAGTAATTTCTATCCAGTGATACACCGATGAATTCAAAAAGAAGAATTAATGTATACGGCTTGGTCGCTCGTTATGGTCCGCGAGCCAGTTACCAGCGCAACAGGTTAAATCGTGAAATTTCGTATTCCAAACAGGTAAAATAGAATTGTTTCGTAACTTCGTTACAACGAAAAAAAAAAAAAAGAACATGCAGATCTTAAAATACGTCGAACGGTGTTAATTAAACAGGATCATAATGCATTGAGCGTACTCTTTTTGGAGCAAATCCCTCGTTCCTTCCTTTCTCGCGTATATTTCCTCTCCGACGATTTATTTATACCCGAAGGTCGTTTGTGCGATCTTCAATCACATAATCGAATCAAGATCGGAGAACGATCGAGAAAAACAACGAATGAATGTGAAAGGAGCGGAGCACGATCGTCACGCGAGCTTTTCGTTTCAGGGCATGTGGATAGGATCGATCATGCCGTTGAGCGCACTTTTTGGAGGCATAGCCGGTGGCCCGTGCATCGAATATCTTGGTAGAAGGAATACAATTCTGGCCACCGCGTTGCCGTTCATCGCAGGTACGGTCGCGTTCACGTTCCAACGGACGACACGCTTCGAACGATCGTTACGATCACTGTGATCCGATCACGTACTGTCGTTAGTTAAATCGACGACTAATCGACATGATGATGTTTTAGCTTGGCTACTGATCGCCCTGGCGACGAACGTCGGTATGGTGCTCACCGGCCGTGCCCTGTGCGGTTTCTGCGTGGGCATCGCGTCGCTCTCATTGCCAGTCTATCTTGGCGAAACGATACAACCCGAGGTGCGAGGTACCCTTGGACTCCTACCAACTGCTTTCGGTAATACAGGTGAGCATCTTTCAGGGTTGGATACAAATTTTTCTTCGAAGTAATGGTAAACGGTAGTTGTTTCTATCTGAGAAATGACTTTATCTCCGAATCCAGATTAAACGAATCATTGGGCGAATGATCTTTCTCGTTTGACAATGAGATAATACTTCGGCAGAGGACGAGAAGTTTATACCGGGCAAATTTTTCTTGAAACAACGAAGAATTATCATCGCTAATTTATTATGCTTGTTTTGGAAACTAACCTTGGAAACGTAGCTTTATCTTGGGTTCGAATTGAGTAAATCATTTAAGCAGGTTTGTTCGAGATAATTCGTTGAATTAAAGTGACTAAATACTTGGATCGTAACATACGAAACGGTAGATTTTCTTTTTTAACACGTAACATTCTTTAATATTCAATATTACTGATAAGAGCTATTACGATTTACATGCTTTTACCAATTGGTTGTAAGTTTTTTGATATAGTGACAAATTTAACTTTATAAAGAAATTGAAGTTTCGGTGTCGAGTATTCTTTGAATTTGCTGGCAAAATGATTAAATATTTAAAAAGAATGATAATCAAGGTGAAATAGAAGCAACGTGCTCAAATGAAAAGTGAAGTTTATTAAAAGGAAAGTTTAGAAATCTAAATTGCGATCTAAAAGCTCGAAATATTAATGCAACAGAACCGAACATTTTACATACCGCTATCTAATAGTTCTAGCGAAACACGAGTCACACGATAAAATCAGAAACTGCTTGAACAATTATTCATAGAAACAAATTACGATTTTGTCTGACAGCTGAGTAATGAAATAATTTTGAGAAAAATCATTTGCCTGTCCAAATATAAACACACGTAGAATTGTTTCAAGATAACATCGTGTCGCGTTTAAATGATCATTTGTCAAATATTTTGCTCAAACAATGGCCAAGGTTGCGTTCCAGTTGCCAGTTAGAGATATCGTACAATTTTCTTTTCTCTTTCGTCCCATTTAGGAATTTTAGTCTGCTTCGTAGCCGGCATGTATCTAGACTGGAGAAATCTTGCGTTACTTGGCGCTAGTTTACCAATACCGTTCATGATTCTGATGTTCATGATCCCCGAGACACCGAGATGGTACATTTCCAAGGGAAAGGCGAAAAGAGCGCGAAAATCGTTGCAATGGCTGCGCGGCAAGGGCACCGACATTAACGACGAACTGTCCGCCGTACAAAAGTTACACACCGAAAGCGAACGCAATGTTTCGCAGGGTGCGCTGATGGAAGTCTTCAAGAAGAATAACCTGAAGCCAGTTTTGATCTCGCTCGGTCTGATGTTCTTCCAACAGCTTTCAGGAATCAACGCGGTCATATTCTACACCGTTCAAATTTTCAAGGCAAGCTTCTATTCTTTGGCACTTAAATTTCCACATGTAGAATACTGCACGTTCACATATAGAGTCAGCTAATACCAGAGACTAATGAATTATTGAAATACTGGTAATTATATGGAAGCATGAGATAAAAGTTAAATGGTCTATCGATGGTAGAATTATCTAAACAAGCGTTTCTTTGAATGGAATCATATATAGATATAATGGAACCCCATAGTTTGTAACGAAGACGAATCAAATTTTAGTCAATGCTCGATTAAATAAATTCTTTTGCTGATTGTATCGTCAACTGCTGTTGTATGAACGAAAACTCGCAAACAGTGGAGAGAACCAACGAACTCTTATCACATGAACTATTTGTTCCGTGACAAGTTTATACAAATGGAGTTCTACTAATGTTTTGTTAATGGATTAATCGATCTGTTTCAATTCTAAAAGAAAAATATCAAGTTACTGATATCGAAAAACCAATAGGTTTAATTTTGTAGGACTTACACTGTGAAGGCAAGGACAACACAAATACTAGTAAATTTACAAAATTACAAAAATTGTATGAAACGCAAGGAAAGACAGGGATGTATTCTCATGCTTATATTGTCCTTGTCCCTCATGCGATATAATAGTAATAAAAACATCTCATCCAAACCAATAACTTTTCGACGTATAGGTTTTTATAGAGGACATCGGGCTCCTTGAGCCATTTCTTATTTAAACACTTCTCAGTTTAGTTTAAAAACCAATCGTTTTATATAACGATTGAAAATTACAAGTTCTATTTGAAGGGAACAATATGATCTTTCCAATACAATCAATCATTTCAGTAGGCTTCCAAGCCTTAGCTGACTCACGCCGTGGAATGTTAAAATCATCCCGGTCTTAATTTTAATTTTTCAGGATGCTGGAAGCAGCATTGACGAGAACATCTCCACCATCATCGTCGGTATCGTGAACTTCATCTCGACGTTCGTCGCGGCGTCCGTTATAGACAAACTGGGCAGGAAAATGTTGCTGTACATAAGCGGCATATCCATGTGCCTGACTCTGTTCACGTTCGGCACATTCTTCTACGTGAAGTCGACTGGGACGGACGTGACGTCGTTCGGCTGGATACCGCTGTTGAGCCTGATCGTTTACGTGATCGGCTTCTCACTTGGATTCGGCCCGATCCCGTGGCTGATGATGGGCGAGATTTTGCCGGTTAAGATACGCGGCTCGGCCGCCAGCGTCGCCACGGCCTTCAACTGGACTTGCACGTTCGTCGTCACGAAAACGTACGAGGACATCGTCTCGGTGATCGGGCCGTACGGGACCTTCTGGATGTTCGGCACGATCGTGGTAGTCGGATTCGTGTTTGTAATCATCTGCGTGCCAGAGACGCGAGGCCGTTCGCTCGAAGAGATCGAGAAACGATTCGCCGGGCCGGTGAGAAGAATGAGCGCGGTGGCTAACATGAAACCCATGCCGATGGCCTGTTAACCGTTCCTCTCTACGCGTTCGCTCACGACGTCGATAGTTGTTAGCCAATCGATCTGTACGATCGACGGGGCGATCAATCGCCCACGTCGTCGACAGTATATCGTCGCGCGTATTTCGCTTCGTTATGAAACGAACGAGAATCCTACATAGTTCCTGCAGTCTGTCGATAAGAATGAGCGAAACAGATGCGTCTAGTGAGAGCCGTCTTCCGGATCGATTCTCTTTTTCTCGATCTTCTCTTTTCCTCTTTTTATTTTTATTTTTCAAACTAATGCGAGCGCGGCTGCTCTCTGCTTCGTTCTTCCTTTTCTTTCTATTCTCTCTTTGCTCCAAGTCTATTGGTAAGACAGTTCGTTCCAATTTTCCTTCATATTCGAATATTCTTCTTCGTTGCCAGAAAATCGTGTCTTTTGGTTTTCTGGCAAGATTCGAGTAGACGATAGCCGAAATGAAAAAAACTGGGAAGATAAATTACGCGAAAACAAACAAAAAAAAAAAAAAAAAAAAAAAAAAAAAAGGAAAGAAAAGAGAAGATGCGAAGAGTTTGAGAGAGGAGGGAGAGATAGAAGGTAAGATTTTTAATACACGAGCTGTAATTTTGCCTGTAAGTAAGTATGTACTTACGAGAAGAAAGTCCAAGAACGATATGCAATTGCAAACTCGACCAAGAGAAACGATCCGTTGACTAGACGTCGTAAGTAATCGTTATTTTTTTCTTATATCAAACACTTTACGGAGTCTACCTCAAGTTAGTACTTTTACTGAAGGTATACGAGTAGAATAACAAGACAAGTGTGAGTTATTTAATCAGTACACGTGTGTGTATAGATTCGAGTACGTCGGATACGTTGTACTTAAGGAAATGCGTCGGAAAAGGAAGAAAACGAACGTTTCTTCCTTCCATATCATCAGGACAATAAAAATTCCCCGCGCGACGGTCGTGTAGGCAATTCCTATGCATTTTTATGGATATCAGCTGTTGCGTTTGTATGTACATAGTTACCGATCTGCATCAACGAACAATTGTATCATTTACCAACGAACGAAATCGTGCCGTAAGATGTAAGTTAAGAAAAATAGAGGGAAAAACGATGCGCGTTTATTTTTTCAACGTTGAAATCGATATATATATATAGCTGTAACAGTAAGTAGATAGCGTAAGAAAACGCGATGAAGAAAACGAAAGGAAAACGTAAGGAAAACGTATGCACAATCGCGCGCCGACCTATCTCTCGCGTCTCTCGCGGTATACACATTATAAAATACATGAATGTATATACATTGAGAATCGATTCTCATTACACAACGATATGTATTTGTACACCACGAGTGTTATACAGGCGTGCGCTTTTAACGTTTCATTTTTTTTATTGAAATTGTCGATAATATTGGGATCTGTGATCGATCCAATTGAATCTTATTTATAAGCGTCGCGTCCTGTCCTATCGACTCCTCCCCCTTTAAACCTCCCTTGCTCTCCCCTATCTTTCCCTCTTCTCGATATCTCGATTCCTTAATTCTCGTATAACGATGGCTGGGCAATTCGAACGTGCATTTGGCAGCTCGAGATTTTTTTGAAGCGAGCAGGACATTCTCCCGTTGCTTCTATCTTTTTGGAAAACCATCGTTCACCCCCATCTCACGTGTCCATTTTTTTCGTCAAATGTGTCATGTTGACGAGTTGACGCACGAACCACGAAAAATCTATGCGATTTCTATTAATTCGTAGACAGTGAGGAAGTACACCTACAACGACAAACAATGAAAATGCAACATTCGTATGGCCCGGTGACCGATTTGCGAGAGTTAACGCGCGGATATATACATCGTTCTCAACGTTAAGTTGCTCGTATCCTCGCAACGTTATTCCGAATCTTATTACCAGGACAGGACGGAAAAAGAAAGCGCTACGAAACATTCCTACCTCGTACAACTTTACGTGCGAACTTGGGATTACCTTGGATGTGCAAACTTGCGAGCAATACGTGTTCTTCCTAGAAAGAAGTTCCGTTTCGTACGCCGATCCGCTCTTTCTTTTCTTTTTCGTTTGGTACAACAATGCTTGATCCTTCTACTTTTATATTTTTACCATCTGTTTCTATTATGCTTATGATGAACGCATTTTTATTGCGTGTTGCTTGGGCGTAAAGTGTTTGTCAAATTTGCGAGGAAGAACCTCGCTCGGAGGAAGATTTACAACCTGTACTCCACTACTATTCGCTATTCGCGTTAAATTTACATCAATAATTCTAAGTTATTGAAATATAACGTTTGACAGAACGCTCTTTTAGCGCTTCTCTCTTTTCTCATCCCTTCTCTTATCTTGTTGTTTCCACTCTTGTCTTTCACCCTACACAATTCTCTATTATTTCGTATTTTGTGTATGTACGGCCAATGCCGTATTTATAACTTATTCAGAAAAAAAAATTGTCAGAACAAATTCGATACGAAGAGAAACGTGAAGTTATTAACAACAATCATAGATCAATAAACTATGACTAACATAGATCAATAACTTCGATATCGTTTCGATTGTCTCTCTAAGCAAGTAAACGAGCGAATTGGTAAACACCTTAACCTATAAACAATACACATTTAGACGCAAAACTTACCCATTACTTGAACTCGACAAATCGCGCAAGTGTCACACTCCACGTCCCAGCTCCACATAGCCACGGCGTTCCATTTTTTTAAGATAAACAGTTTTTCGGTTTTTAAATTGTCGTTCTCCGCACGATCTGTGAAATCTTGCTCTGATTCGGCCATTTCGACTTTTTAGGTTAGAAATAACGGTGCGACACGAACGGTTTCAACGATTCCAACATCTGTTTTCAATCGGAATCCTCGAGGAGATCACACTCGTGCGATGCACACCTTGCGTTTATTCAATATTGTCACGCGCGTTCGAACGATATCAACGACACCGGTTGTCGATTTCAGAATTGGTCCATCGTAAACGGAATACGAGTGGCGTTCCTTGTTAAAACGTGCGTTTCCGGTAATGTAGATTGTGCGCAGTTGCTAACGGACTGGGTCTGCGCTTGCAACACGTTCGTCGGTAAGTATGCTGTTCTACTGGCATAATAGACGACGTATATGAATAGACCACAGACGACATATATGAAGATCTAGAAACCTTACGGGGTTTCGTGGGCGGAGATCTGAAATACCGACATAGTAGAAAATCACTGGCACAGACGAGATATATGAATAGACCTAGCATACAATGTAATTTTTTGGCCCATGATTGAAGGGTGCATGGGTCCACTTACCATGTCACATCCTGTCCAAACTTTCGAAGAGAACTTTTAAATAATATTTCTGAATATTCTATTTGTTTAAATATTATCTAATATTTCTAATAATTTACTTGCAACAATTAAACAATAAATTGTCCTCTGTAATGTTTCTAAGTGTTATTTAAAATTTTTGTTTAATCTTAATATAAAAGTTGTGAAAATTATTAAATAATGTCTAGAAATATTATAGAAATGAAATAATTCGTTTCAAATGAATTATTCAAACTACAAAATAATGCATTTCGATGATATTTTTGTATATTATTTAACAATTTTAACTATTTACTTATGATATAATTGAATCAGTGATTGAATTCCCAAGCATTATTTCATAGTTTCAATAATTTATTTATAATAATTAAATTATTTTATTTAGAATAACGGAAAAGATAGTTATATAATACATATATTTCTTGTTGTCTGAAACGATAAACGAGCAAAAATTTTTATGTGTTGCGCTTATATGTTATTCAGAAGCGACGATCATTGCTTAATTCGAGTTTTGATTACATAACTTTTCTCCACATAAATTTCTTTTTAATATACATCAATGCAGTTATAACTTAAAAATTAATATCATGAAAGTGTAAATTTATTTTTAACCAGTTATAGATAAAAAAATTAATAAATTATTACATTGGACAGTATTTATGAAACCTTGCGATAGAAATCTAAAAACTATTGATTAGTATAATAGAGAAACCGTTTTGAAGTACCGTTTTGAAGAAAAAAAATTATCAACAGTTCCGGGTCACTGATGATCGGAACAATAAATTAACCTTCAGCGATACGAAGACTCATTACCAATTGAACTTCCATCGTGTGCACATTGATCAAAATTTAGGAGTGAATTTTTAAATATTTCTAAATATTTCTACTTGTTTAAACATTATCTAATATTTCAAATAATTTATTTGTAACAATTAAACAATAAATTCTCTTTTATAATTGTTTAAACATTATCTAATATTTCTAATAATTTATTTGTAACAATTAAACAATAAACTCTCTTCTATAATTGTTTAAACATTACCTAATGTTTCTAATAATTTACTTGCAACAATTAAACAATAAATTCTCTTTTATAACATTTCAAGTTCGTAACGTGTACACATCGACCAAATTTTAGAAATTGGAAAAAAATTATCAATTGTCCCTGATCACTGACGACTGAAACATATGATTAACCTTGAGCGATATGGTTGAGCTCATTACCAATTAAACTACCGTCGTGTGCACATCGACCAAAATTTAGGAGTGAGTTTTAAATAATATTTCTGAATATTCTAATTGTATAAATATTATCTAATATTTCTAATAATTTACTTCCAACCATTAAATAACAAATTCTCTTCTGTAACATTTCTAGGTGTTATTTAAAATATTTAACTAATAATTTATAAGAATCTTGAACAATGTACTTAAGAGAAATAATATTGACTTATTGAATGAAATAATTAATTTAATTGTTTAATCGCAATATAAAAATTGTGAAAATCATAAAATAGTGTCTAGAAATATTGTAGAAATAAAATAATTTAATTATTAAAAATTTAATTGTTTCAAATGAATTATTCAAATTGTAAAATAATGCATTTCGATGATATTTTTATATATTATTTAACATATTTAATTTAACATATTTAATTTAACTATTTTTTATAGCAATTCAATCAATGATTGAACTTCCAAGCATTATTTCATAGTTTGAACAATTTATAATAATTAAATTATATTATTTACAATAACAGAAAAGTTAATTACATAATACATATATTCCTTACAATTTGAAACAATAAACGAGTGAAAATTTTTATATGTTGCACTTATATATTGTTCTGAAGCGACGATCATTGCTTAACTAGATTTTTGACTACATAACTTTTCTCGACGTAAATTTCTATTTAATATACATCAATGCAGTTATAATGAAATTAGAAATTAATATCATAAAAGTGTAAATTTAGTTTTAGCCAATTATAGATAAAAAAATTAATAAATTATTACATTGGATATTGTAACATATTTATGAAAGTATAACCTTGCGATAGAAATCTAAAAACTATTGATTAGTATAATAGAGAAACCGTTTTGAAGTAACGTTTTGAAGAAAAAAAGTTATCAACAGTTCCGGGTCACTGACGATCGGAACAATAAATTAACCTTCAGCGGTACGGAGACTCATTACCAAGTGAACTTCCGTCGTGTGCACATCGACCAAAGGGGTGAGTTTTGAAATAATATTTTTGAATATTCTACTTGTTTAAACATTGTCTAATATTTCCAATAATTTATTTGCAACAATTAAACAATAAATTCTCTTCTGTAATATTTCTAAGTGTTACTTAAAATATTTCACTAATAATTTATAAGAATCTTGAACAATGTACTTATAAGAGAAATGATATTGAAATAATTAATTTAATCGTTTAATTGTAATATAAAAATTGTGAAAATTATAAAATAATGTCTAGAAATATTGTAGAAATAAAATAATTTAATTATTTTAAATGAATTATTTAAATTGTAAAAAAATGCACTTCGATGATATTTTTGTATATTATTTAACAAATTTAACTATTTATTTATAGCAATTTAATCAGTGATTGAACTTCCAAGCATTATTTCATAATTTGAACAATTCATTTATAGTAAAATTATATTAAATTATATTATTTACAATAACGGAAAAGACAGTTAGATCATACATATATTCCTTGCAATTTGAAACAATAAACGAGTGAAAATTTTTATATGTGCGCGATTACTCTGAAGCAACAATCACTGCTTAACTCGATTTTTGACCACATAACATTTCCCTACATAAATTCCTATTTAATATACATCAATAGTACAGTTATAACTTAAAAATTAATATCCTGAAAGTGTATTAAAAAGTAAATTTAGCTTTAGACAGTTGTAGATAAAAAAATTAATAAATTATTACATTTGACATTGGAACATATTATGAAAGTATAGCCTTGCGATAGAAATCTAAAAACTATTGATTAGTATAATAGACAAAGACTTTCGAAAAATTAAAAAAAAATTATCAACAGTTCCGGGTCACTGACAATCGGAATATTAAATTAACCTTCAGCGGTACGCAGACTCATTACCAATTGAACTTCCGTCATGTGCACATCGACCACAATTTAGGGGTGAGTTTTTAAATAATATTTTTGAATATTCTACTTGCTTAAACATTGTCTAATATTTCTAATAATTTATTTGTAACAATCAAACAATAAATTCTCTTCTATAACATTTCTAAGTACTATTTAAAATTTTTAATTAAACATTTGTAATAATCGAGTCACTAATACATTTCTAAGAAATTTTCATTACCTGTATCGTATCATTAACGACTGAAAGATCAGATTAATGTCGATCGAATTGAGTTTTTCTCGTGGGCACATCGACCAAATTTTAGATGTTTGAAAAAAATTATCAACAGAATGAAACATATAATTAACCTTGAGCGGTAATGAAACTTTTTATCAATGAAACTTTCATCGTGTCCACATCGACCAAAATTTACCAGAAAAATTTTAAATAATATGTCTGCAACCAAATCTTAATCTAGAATTCTCACTTCAACGATTGGCAAGTTACATGGTTTGGTTTCCTTAGTGTTGAGTTAATACTTGATCGTGATTATTTGAACATGAATACGAGTTCAATTTCCATTGTATCGTAGTCGTACAAGATATACTTTATTAGTTACCATTCTTTAATAATTACCGTGATATAT